ACTCACACAGTGCATAGCTATATATGAATGCAAAATACTCATACAGATAAAATAAAAATAAAATAATCTTTAAAAAATTAAAGTCTTGGAGGTTTTTGAAAATATGATCTCAAAATCACAGATCTCAAAAAAATACATAAACATGCATCAAACTATAAAGCTTCTGCACGTGCCCATAATCTCAGCCTCTGGAGACTGAGGCAGAAGGATCATCATAAATTCTAGGATTGCCTGAGCAACAAGGGAGCTCCAGGCCAGTCTGGGCTAGGTATCGAGAGCCTGTGCCCAGACCAGACCAAATCAAACCAAACCTCAAAAGACTTTCACACAGAAAAGGAAATGAGTAACAGTAAAGAGAGAACATATGAAATGAGATGAATACTTCCAAACCACAATGCTGATAAAGGATTAAGGTCCACCTTTGATAGGAAATTCAGATAACTAGCAAGAAAACAAAGAACACTATTTTTTAAATGTGCACACAACTCAACAACAGAAGAAAATAAATGGGAAGGCAGGAGAGGTCAGAAATAAGACGTTTGACATTAATTCTGACAACCTGAGTTCTATTGTCTGAGCTCCCAGAGTGAAAGAATAATGGATCCTGCAAGTTATGCTCCAACCCCTACATGCACGCTGTAGCTTGTGTGTTTGTATATACACATACAACACACACATGAAGTGTAATGTTTTAAAAAAAAGTAATTGGCTAACATCACTAGTCACAAAAGAATACATTTTAAACACATGAAGAATCAGGTGAAGTGGCTCATACTTGTAATTTCAACACCGAGAGGAATTGGCAGAAGGATCACGGCTTCAAGGCTAAATCCTATCTCAAATCATGCAAGGAGACAATGAACAAAACCACAATGAGTTGTCACATCAATCCTGTTAGCATTCTTTCTACCAAAGACAAGAGATGTGGAGGGGGAAAAAAAAACCTTGTATCTTATTGATGAGAATTTAAATTATACATACAATATGACAAAAATTTGAGCATTTTCAAAATTTAAAAATAGAACTAGTACACAATGCTCTGAAAATTTGCGTATGGTTGGGTAGAGAGCAAAAGGAACTGAAATTGATAATGATAAAGGATATTTCTTCATGTCCACATTACAGAATTATTCATAGTATAAAAAATATGAAGCCCATTGTGTTGAATGGTTTTAATGTCAACTTGACACAAGTTAAAGTCATCTGAGAAGAGGGAACCTCAATTAAGAAAATGCCTACATAAGAGCAGGCTGTACACAAGAGTTAGGACATTTTCTTAATTAGTGACTGATGTGGAAGGACCCAACCCATTTTGGGTGGTGCCATCCCTAGGCTGGTAGTCCTGGATTCTATAAGAAAGAAGATTGAACAAGCCATGGGGAACAAGCCAGTAAGCAGCAGTAAGCTTTGGGCTTATTGCAGCACAAATAGGGCAAGGCAGGAATTCCAAACAGATAGAGGAGGAAAGTAGTCGGTGTCAAAGAGAAGCCACGTAGTTGCTGAAGAAGAAAGACACCTGTTGGTGTCCACTGGAACCTTGCTATTAGGCCACAAACTCATGGTGATGCACAGATTAATAGAGGTGGGTTAATTTAAGATGTATGAGCTTGCTAGAAATATGCTTAATCTATTGGCCAAATAGTATTGCAATTAATACAGTTTCTGTGTGATTATTTCGGGGCTGGATGTCTGGGAAATGAACGAGCAGTCTCTAACTACATGCTTGAGATCCTGTCCTGATTTCATTTAGTGATGAACAGTGATGGGGACTTGTAAGCCAAATAAACCTTTCCTTCCCAACTTACTTATGACCATGGTGTTTGATCACAGCAATAATAACCCTAATGAAGATAGTCATTTAAGCATCCTTCAGTGATTCAAGAAAATATGATAGATACACAATGGAACACTCCTTAGTCAATAAAGGAAACCTTGTCATTTATAGCAGTTTGGGTGTAAATGGAGAACATTATGCTAAGTGAAATAAACCAGGTGCAGACACAAACATAACCTAACATGTAATCTAAAACGATCTAACGTGTAACCTAAAATGGTTGAACTTAAGGAAGTGGGAGTAAGCAGAACTCATGGGGGAATTCATTAAAGGACACCAAGCTTCACTTGAAATAACTTTTGTACATCTGTTGTATACCATGATTTCGATTAATGTTAATGTATCCTTGCAAACTGCTTGAGGCTTTAAGTGTTCTCACAACTCCATATATAAATATAAACATATGCAAAAAATATTCCTTTACTTATGCAGTTTGCAATTATTTAAATATAATCCTGGTTACAGAATTAATAAAAAGCTATAATTTTAATCTAGAAGTTTTATCTTCAGAGTTCTTAAAAACTTTTGGGCAGGGGCTGGTGAGATGGCTCAGAGGTTAAAAGCACTGACTGCTCTTCCAGAGGTCCTGAGTTCAATTCCCAGCAACCATACGGTGGCTCATAACCATCTATGATGAAATCTGATGCCTTTTTCTGGTGTGCAGGCAAAATGCAGACAGAACATTATATACACAATAAATACATTTAAAAACAAAACAAAATAAAAAACTTTTGGGCTTAAACCTAAAGGATGCACTCATACCACACTCATATGCTCAACTGTGTTCATAGCACCATTATTCGTAATGAGAACGTGGAAACAACCTAGATGGCCTCAACTTAATGGATAAAGAAAATGTGCTACATTTACACAATGGAGTACTACTCAGCAGTAAAAACAAAACAAAACAAAAAACAAGGACATCTTGAAATTTGCAGGCAAAAGGATGGAACTAGAAAAAAAACATTCTGAATGAGGTAACCCAAACCCAGAAAGACAAACACAGTATGTATTCATCCATAAGTGGATATTAGACGTAAAGCAAAGGATAACTAGGTTATAATTAACAGAGAAGCTAGGTAAAAAGGAGTACCCTACGAGGGAAATGCATGGTAGGCTCCAGGAAGAGGAAATAGTTAATATCTCTTGGGTAAACTGGAGGAGCTGGAGGAAGAGATGAGGGATAGGAACATGAGAGAACAGGATGGATGAGTTGGGGGAAGGGGAGAGGGGGAGAGCAATGAAAGAGATAGCCTTTTTTTTGTGATAGGGTTTTTCTGTAGCTTTGGAGACTGTCCTGGAACTAGCTCTTGTAGACCAGGCTGGCCTCGAACTCACAGAGATCTGCCTGCCTCTGCCTCTCGAGTGGTGGAATTAAAGGCGTGCACCACCACCACATGGCTTAAAAAGAGATATCTTGATAGAGGAAGCCATTATGGGGTTAGGGAGAAACCTGGTGCTAAGAAAATTCCCAGCAATCTGCAAGGATGACCCCACCAAAGACTACTAGCAATAATGAAGAGGTTACCTGAACTGGCCTTCACTTATAATCAGATTGGAGACTACCTTAATTGTCATCATAGAACCTACATCTAGTAACTGATGGAAGCAGATGTAGTGGTCCACAGCCAAGCACTGGACTGAGCTCCTGGAGTCCAGTTGAAGAGAGGGAGAAGGGATTATATGAGCAATGGGAGTGTCAAGATCATGATGGAGAAAATGAGAGACAGCTGACCTGAGCTAGTGGCAGCTCAGGATTCTGGAATGACAGCTGGAGAACCTGATGGGAAGCCTGTATGGGACTGAACTAGGCCCTCTGAATGTGTGTGACAGTTATGTGGTTTGATCTGTTTGGGTGGATGAATCCTGGTAGTGGGAACCAGGACTTATCCTGGGTGTATGAACTGGCTCTTTGGAGCCCATTCCCTATGGTGGGATAGCTTGCTCAGCCTTGATAAGGTGAGGGGGAGGATGGGGGCGAGGCTTGGTCCTGTTTCAACTTGGTATTTAGACTTTGTTGATTCTTCAAGGCAGGCTTTACTCCCTCTGAGGAGAGGATGGATGGTGGGATGTGGCAAGGTGGAGGGCAGAAGAAGGGGAGGGAGGGGGAACTGGGGTTGGTATGTAAAATGAAAAAAAATTAAATAAAAATATTGTTGTCAGGGTTTCTGTCCTCCCACCAGGTCACATAGCCGTTTAGCCCCAAAGAAATCACACAAGGTCTATATTAATGATAAACTGATTGGCCCAGTAGTACAGGCTTCTTATTAACTCTTATACCTTATATTAGCCCATTATTCTTATCTATGTTAGCCACATGGCTTGGTACTTTTATCATCAGGGCAATCACATTTTCCTTCTTCTGTGATTGGGAAAAGACTAGGGAACAATGGGCTTCCTCCTTCCCAGAATTCTCCTGTTCTCATTGACCTGCCTCTACTTCCTGTCTGGTTGTCCTACCTATACTTCCTGCCTGGCTACCAGCCAATCAGCATTTATTTAAAACATAATTGACAGAATATAGACAATTGTCCAGCACCAAAATATAACATGAAAAAAATTACTTTCTGACCCTACTCAGGAAAGTCTGTAATTTACAAGCCTAAACTACAGGCCTATAGTTTACTTAAAAGAAAATATACGGTCTATGGAATTATAAAGTAATTTAAGTCTTCACTGTCCTTTCGCTGACCTTCAAACAGTTTCATCCTTCTGCTTGTTTGCTCAAAAATCACAGATACACACAAACAGCACCGCTTCATACGCTGGCAACAGCAGCTGGAAGAGTTGAGTAGAGGGCTGCAGAGTACGTACTTACATCTGCAAGATCCTGGCTTCCTCCCAGAGCGCACCCCTCCCCAGAGGCAGCGAAATAGATGGGAAACTCACTGACACACAAAGAAAAAAAGGACAACCAGAGAATCGGACTTTTAGAACAAGAGAAGGCCTTAGGATGCATCTAGCCTAGCTCTTAGCAGCCAGGAGAGGAGCCTAGACTCACTCAGTGTCACATAGCTAATTTCCTATAATTTGAGAATGATAACTTGGGGCTACTCTTGGGTTACCACTGATAGGGCAGATGAAACGAAGAACAGGTCAGTACTAAAGCATTGTTTTCAGTTTAACATATATGAGAGTTAGAAAAACAGGACACCCGTCACACATCTACAGAAATAAATCCTTTTATTTTATAACATTCCTTTTCTCCTTTAGGATGCATACAGTACGTGTAAGCCCAAGAATTCTGAGAAAAACTATAGAAGACCTGGCACTATTTTTGAGAATTACACAACTGGGCAGCAAAATAACACCTTTATAAATGGACAGACATACAGAAATTAAAAATTTAGTGTTTGCACACAAAAATAAAGTTATATTCAACACGTTTCTTAAACGTGCATTCAAATGGCTAATGTTTTCTAAGCTTTGGTCATCATGCTTTATTATAACTTGTTAATTTCACAATTGTGCAGATGATTAAACCCAAAAATTTAGCAAATATGCTACAATAACACAGCAGCAATAGCAAGCTAATACTGCATAATCATATTAGCAGACTGATTCAGAAACATGTTATCCACAAACAGCACACAAAACTTTTTTGTGTGATAACATAGTTAAATGACTTTTCTTCCATTTCATAAAACAAGGCAGAGTAATGAGACATAGCAGAACATGATTACATAATAAAAAGTATATTTTTAATTACAAATCTAATTGTACAAATGGGGCAATAAACTGCAGTTTCTATAGAATAGTGCAAATGAGCAGGATTTGTCTCAAAAACATTGAAAATTTAGTTCATCCCAGGTGCCATGGATTGATTTCATGACTACTAGTTTATATTAAGTGTTTCAGGTTTCCATGTGATGGCTAGAAGGTCAGATCTGTACTCACAGATAAGCTGAAAATAAACATAGTCAATGAATTAATTTACTGGACATGAAATGCAGGCACTCAAAATGCAAAATACAGCTTTAAAAAATTTCATTTGTCATCATGTAAATTGTCTGTTCATCATAACTATCTCATCAAAAACTCATAATTCATTTAAAACTGTCATATCGAGCAATTCCTCTAAATTTTTTTTGATATGCGGTGGTTGAGATGCGGCCTGGTTTAATAAGTTCTGACCCATCTGTGCAAAAAGTGCTTTTGACAATTTAGCTGTGGCTGTTCGTATATTTCCGCCAGCTCCAGGAAGGGAGCCACTGTGTGTCATATTCCCTAAGAGGTGCCATAAGACCACCAGCACTTTCTGTTCTGTGGCGTGAGGCTTCCTTTGATAAAGGTCCGTGACAATATCTGGAATACAAAACATTGGCAATAGTCAGAGCTTCCCTAAAGTAAATTCAAGGTCTGTTAAATAACAAATATCCCAAATATGGGCTTCTGCCCTAGGCTATTTGTCCTAAAAGATTAGGCCTTAAAGACAAACAAAACTAGGCAAAACTTGTAAAGACTGGGATCTTCAGGTGTCAGAGGGCCATATGTGACAACTAGTTCAGGAAAATAAAATGCTAAAGAGAAAAAAACATCAAACCTATAGTAAACGTCAATGTTTTCCAAATGCAGTTAAATACAATTTATAGAGCTCAATCCATGGAGCGTTCATCGTAAAATCACTGAACTGATCCTCCACGAGCATCACATTGACGTCAATGCCCATCTAACAAAGGGCAGATTCTTTATCTTCATCTTCCCTCTTTGAAAGAATCCAAAATGCTGTGCATCACACAGGGTGTTTCAGAGTGCTAAGCAAGCAATCAATTATAGAACTACACTTTCAGTCCTAGAGTTATTTAAAAGAATATTTTGGAGGAAGTACAACTCCTAAAAGGTTCTTCTGTAGACTACTAATACAATTTATTTCTATTCCGTATAGCAATGATACTAAATTGACAGCTATGGTGAATAAAATGGAAATACCCATCAGCTTATCCAAAATATCATCTGCAGGAAAAGGGACACAACTGATGATAATCATCTTAAGCAAAGTAAGTCAGACTCAGAAAGTCAAATATTGCAGGTTTCCCCTCATTTATGGGTCATAAATTTCATGTAGATAACCCAAATTCCTTATGTATATAGGACGTGAAAGTAGAAGAAAGTCTGGCCTGGAAGATTGAATGGGAGTAATGGGAAGGGGCCAGGGGAGAAAGTGGGAAGTGACATATGGCCAACGTATACAACATACTTGCATGAAAATGCTTGTCCACAAACTCTACATTAAGTACAATGAATATGTTCCTATAAAGTTCATAATAAAAGCATATTACTTTAAAAATTATTACTTAAAATTATGTACCAGCAAGTTTTTCTGTCATATCTTGTTTTGCTTTTCCATTTAGAAACTGAGCTTTTGTGCAAAATGGTTGTAGAAGTAAGTAATTGTCTGAAATAGAAAAAGAGACATTTCTAAGAAAGAGCGCCCAATAATTTTGATTTAACAGCATGAACAGGAAAAAGCAATAATTTCTACAATGTAAACATACCAATTTAAGAAGTCCGCATACTTAATCCTTACCATAGTTTTCTATGAGAGTCATATTTTTGTGACAAAGATGAAATAAAAGTACCCATCAAGCATTAAAGAAACTATCACATAGTATAGAAGGGAAAGTGCTGTCAATCTCCTAGGCATCTTACTTTCAAATGCTGGTGGCTTTATTACAAAACAATACCAGCAAAAAAATGTTTTTTTAAGGACAAGTAGTTTTTACATTTAATGTATTTTTAGAATTTTTTTTATACTTACATAATTTTTCCCTTCTCCAGAATTCAAAAGATTCACAAGAAGTGGTAAAGATAGTACAGACCAAGCCTTTTATATTGAAAGGCTATATCTTACATAATTATAGGAAAAAATCAAGCCAGGTGGTGGTGGTATACACATTCAATCCCAGCAGTCAGGAGGCAGAGGCAGGCAAATCCCCGAGTTTGAGACCAGCATGGTCTACAGAGTAAGTTCCAACACAGCCAGAATTATATAGAGAAACGCTGTCTCGAAAAACAACAAACAAAAAAACAAAAAATCAATATAAGGAATGAATGTACATAGTTCCATTCCACCAATTTCTTTCTTTCTCTTTGTTTTTTTTCCCCCTCTTGGTTTTTCAAGACAGGGTTTCTCTGTAGTTTTGGAACCTGTCCTAGAACTAGCTCCTGTAGACCAGACTGGCCTCGAACTCACAGAGATCCACCTGCCTCTGCCTCCCAAGTGCTAATATTAAAGGTATGAGCCACTACTGCCCAGCCTGTTCCATTTCTTTACATATAATATGATTTATACAGCAAATATGATACAGAAGGGCTTCTTCACCATAAACACCGTGCTAATGACTCCCCTTCTGTAGTGATAAAGCACAAGAGAGAATCAGCTTAAGTGGAGAAAAGGTTGCTTTGGGCTCATGTTCTCAGTTGAGTCCATGCTCACTTAGCCCTTACTTTGGGCCTATGGTAGCACAGGACATCATGGAGGCTTACAGTAGTATAAACAGCTCACCTCATGGAATCCAGGAAGCGAAGAGAGAGGAGGCTAAGGTCCTAACATTCCCTTCAAGGGTGTGTCTCCAAAGATTCAACCATTTGTTTAAAATGGGTTCAGCCTTCACAAGTTTCTAAAATCTCCAATCAGTGCCATCGAGTGAGGAACAGAACACTTAAGATGTAAAACATAAAAATACCAATACTTGCCTCCCTACCACCCATCAATGCAGGGAACAACTAGAATGTTCATCACCTAAGTGATTTTGTCCTTTTGAAAATATGAGTAAATTAAACAAAAGAGAGTATGACTTCAGTTTAGCTTTTTAAATAGCATTATGCCCTGTGATTCATACAAATCAACCCACGTATCAAGTCTGCTCTTTCCTATCGCTAAACAGTGTTCCATGGATATGCCATAAGTTGGATATAGTCTAAATGATATCTTACACTAAGTTTATATTTTGTTTTTTTGCTGGGTTCTGTGGCAGAAAAGGCAGGGGCAGAGCCGGACCTGCAGGACTTTCTCTGGGGCTGAGCAGGTTGGTGGACGACTCAGACCTCCTCTCTGGCCACCAGAGAGAAACACGCACACTGAGTCAAGAGTCTGTCAAAGCAGGATCTCGTTTAACTGTATTAGGAAGAAACTTACATAGGCTGAGATAGAGGAGTGGGAAATCCAGAAAGGGTCAAGGTGGAACAAGGAACAAGGGCCAATAATATTCTGCCACGTTAGCAGTGACTGGGCAGAGGTGGGCCTAGGTCACGTTGTGCTGTGTGGAAGTTATAGCCAGAGACAGGTCTCCAAACTTTAGTTAGGCTCAGAAAGTTATACTGTGCCTCATGCCCAGGTCTTATGAGGCCCAACAGTTTTTAAAGAAACATGAAATTCTTTCTAGAGTGGCTGTACTATTTATATACTCTCATTAGAAATGCACTCAAGAGCCAGGCAGTCCTCTCCTTTAATCCAAGCACTCAGGAGGCAGAGACAGGCAGATCTCTGCGAGTTTGAGGTCAGTCTGGTCTACAGAGCCAGTTCCAGGACAGTCAGAGATATACACAGAAACTCTGTCTCAAGAAACAAAAAAACAAACAAGAAAAAAAAATATAAATGTGTGTGTGTGTGTGAGTGTGTGTGTGTGTAGTATGTATGTATGTATATATGTCTGAACATGTAAATGTTTAGATACATGTGTGCAACAGATAAAGTATGAGGTCAGGAAGAGTCAGCTTTCTCCTTCCACCACATGGATCCTGGGAATGAGACTTAGCAACAAGCACTCTTACCTAGTAAGCCATCTTTCTAGCCTCAGACATACTTAAAAAGAAAAAAAATTGAGCTGTTCTAATACTCATATGGTATAGGAAGTCCTTCTGTATATGTGTTGCTTTTATTGGTTGATGAGTAAAGAAACTGTTTTGAGCCTATTGTAGGGTAGAACAGAGGTAGGCAGGGAAAACTAAACTGAATGCTGGGAGAAAGGAGGCGGAGTCAGAAAGATGATATGGAGCTGCCAGAGAGGAAAGACGCAAGCTGCCAGCTGGAACCTTGCCAGTAGGCCAAGAGTCTTATGATAAAATATAAAATAATAGAAATGGGTCAATTTAAGAGATAAAAATGACCTACAAATATGCATAAGCTAATAGGCCAAGCAGTGTTGTAATTAATGCAGTTTCTGTGTGATTATTTTGGGAGTCTGGGAGGCAAGGAAATGAACAAGCGGCCTCCTACTACACTCATATAGTGAATAGTGTCTTTTCACTAAGGTAAAGTGATGCTGGATATCTTTGTGGGCATATTTTTCATGTGTATGTCCTCCTCAGACAAAAGCTTCTTCATGTCTTTTTCTTGTTTTCTACTTGGATCTGTTTTGTTCAAGGTTGAGTGAATTTTGAGAGTTATTTATATATTCTAGATATGAGCTATGTCTACTATGCTAAGGTATTCTGTCTCAGGATACATCTTTTCTCTTTAGCTGCTTAATATAATCTTTTGTAAATTAAAAAAATTAATTTTGTGTGTGCACATTACATAATGAGATATCTAAAAAAAAAGGTTTTGCTTTGCTTGCATCTGATTTCTTCACACTTGACCTTTCATCCCGAAGATTTTGCCTGGTATCTGTCTTTGTATTCAATCCCAGTCATAACAATATTGTCTGAACATATAAAATGACTTACATAGAAGATTGCTTTCCTTCAGGGAGTCTGATATTTTGTCACCTCCTAGGCAGACACATGAGAATCCACGAAAGAGTCTTTGTCTTTAATAAGCTTCCTTGCTGGATAACATCTTATATTGGATGTGCTCTGTTCAGTGCTACTGGGAATGGTCCCTTAAAAGCTTGCATCTAGCCAGGCAGTGGTGGCTCATGCCTTTAATTTCAGCACTTGGGAGGCAGAGGCAGGCAGATCTCTGTAAGTCTGAGGTCAGCCTGGTCTACAGAGAGTTCCAGGCCAGCCAGGGGCTTCTGTAAAGGCTGGAGGGGTCTTTCCTTCCATCATGTGGGTCCCCGGGATAGAACTCACATTGTCATACCTGGTAAAAAATACTTTTACTTGCTGAGATATCTCATCACCACAACTGAAGTTTTTTTAACACTATTTTTTTGAGGATTTCATGTATGAATCTTTACAACATTGCCATCACAAACACTCTACCCACTCCAACTCCTTATACCCCTTCCACTCCCTCTCAACTTCATAATCTCTTTCTTACTGTTACATACATAATTGTATATATATACAGTTGAGCCCATGATGTCCTACACATATGTGTATGTGTTTTGGGCTGACCATTTAGGATTGTAAAACCTATCACGGACTTATCCTTGGAGAAGATAGTCTCCCTCTCATAGCAGCCAATAATTGCCTGAGGCTCTTCATCTAACAGTGGGGTCCTGTGAGATTTCCCCTATCTATGTAGGCATGTCAACTGGTAATAACATTGTTCCAATTTTCCTTACATATTCATATTGTTAGTATTAAACTGATGCAACTCCCTGACATATATAGAAGACACTATTTTATAACAGATATCCTGGTCCTCTGACTCTTACAGTCTTTCCACCCTCTGAGTCCAGTCTATTGACATGCATAGATCATGCTTTTAGAATGATTTCTAAAGGTTTATGTGATGTTCTGAAGATGTTTCCATGTAATGTCCTAAAATATAGCTAATGTTATACTGACATTTAAATCTATAATCCATTTAATTTCATGAGTATGAGGCAAAAAAAATTTAGAACTCAGTGAAAAACACAGTCAATTTAAATACTGTATCATGAAAATAATTTATGAAAAAAGTTTAGGATATACTAGTAACGTACAAATATTTATTTCAACATATAAAAAACACATAGACTAGGAAAGCAAGGAAGTAAAATCAAAATCATCTGAATACCAATTGAGATTCCTTACCTACATGCTGACTCAGTGCATGAACAACATTTGTGGCAGCAGTATAGATGCCCAGGTTCTTGGAATTCAGATTGTTATCCACAATTGCGGGAATTAGCATGTTGATTATAGGAGACAAGTTGTCTCGAAGTAAAGGAATCATTTTATGCATTGTTTCTAGAGCCACCAGATTCACTTTGCTATTGGAATCATGAAGTCGAGACTTAAAAGCATCAAAGATCTGAAAATAATTTGGTAAATTAAAGTAAAACAATGTTTATATCTCTTACATTAGCCTTGTTTGCTACTTATTTCTCTTACTTTACTCTTTACACACACACACACACACACACACACACACACACACACACACACACCACACACACACCCTATTTGTTTGTCTGTCTGTTTTTCAAGACAGGGTTTCTCTATGTAACAGTCCTGGCTGTCAAGGAACTTGCTTTGTAGATCAGGCTGGCCTCGGATTTACAAGTTCTGCCTGAGCCTGCGTGCTGAGTGCTGGGATTAAGGGTGTCCACCACCACAACTGGCCATCACACACATACCCTATTTAAACCTAACTCAGATAATAGAAACTTTATGATTTGTCAAATTTAAATGTTTACAGGTAGTAAAAATCATCCCAAAGATGTTTAATAAACGAGGGCTACAAATGTGGCTTGATAGGAGGCTGACTGACTGCAAACATAATCAATGTGCTGTTAGTTAAGATGCAGGCCAGCCTCATTTGATGCTAAGAACTTAGGGAAAGTTCCTATAATCTCTTTATGCAGAACAGAAGACAAGGAAATTTTACCACAGATATTCGGCATAATTTTGATTTAATTTTGGTAGGACAATTAAATGTAATATCAACTTCCTCCTTTAAACTACAGTAAGAATCAAAGCCAGGTCTTATGCTTTCATGCTAGATAAGTGCTCTACCATTAAGCTACAATCAAGGCAGCCAAGGAGTTACTCTATGAAGCTAAGGCTATTAACTAATCTTTCCTTATACTTACTTATTTTAAGTTTTCATGTTAAAAAATTTAACTAAGAGATTTACTTTTAACAGATACTAGAAAATGACTCACTGGATTAAGAAGTAATTATGGTATGCTTGTCAAGTTTAATGTAGTTATGCCAACTCTAAATGGAATTTAATAAATTACTAATAGAATTAACTGAACAAAATTCTAGTAAAACAGAAGTAGCCCGTGCTCATACCACAATGATTATTAATCTCCGTGCCCTTGTTTCTTTATCTAAAGATCCATTAAAATAAAAATTATGTAAATATATAAATAAGTATAATATCTTATTTTTATTTACTGATTTCTAAAACACATAAAAAGTTTTAACAACCATAATAAAACAAATATTAGGTCTCTTAAATTTTCATTTGTTAAGAGGATGTATTGATTCTCTCAATATATATTTACTGAAGCCAGGCTGAGAACTCTCAGAATACCAAGCTTACCAATGTGTAAGAAGTTTCTACTGACTGTCTTCTTTTCTTTCTAATATGTTTATTTTTAACTGTGTGTATGTGTACGCTTGTGCAATGGGCACATAGTACAGATTTCCTCAAAGCCAGAGGCGGCAGAATTACAGGTAGCTAGGAGCTGTCAGAGTGGGTGCTAGAAACCCAGCTCAGGTCGTTTGGAAGAACGAGCACTCCCAACTTCAAAGCTGTCTCTCCAGCCCCTACATGACCAAGGTCTTGTTTTTTTTCCTATTACATTTTAACCGCCCAGCATATTTTTAACATAGCAAATCCTATGTAATCCATTCCTGTTATTAAACTTATTTTTAATACTTTCAAATAACATAAATAAAGTTCCATGGTTTTGAGTAATTTGCTATATTAATGCTTTTTCCATTTAGATTACAAATGAAAATTAATCTTGAGAGCAAGGACTCGAATTTGATCCTTTGGTCCCATGTGTGAAAGGAGTAAACTACTTTCCTAAATCTGTCTTCTGAATTCTACACACGCACATGCATGTACACACATATGCACACACACACAATGCTTAACAAAATTAACTTTCTTACCTTCACAATGTTGCCAACAACAAGTTCTTGGTTGTTTTCAGTATCTGATAAAAGTTGTTTAATCCCATTAATACGATCACGAAAGTCTTTTGCATTTAATAAGCCTGTTATGACTTTAATGTACTCAGCACTTTCTAAGGAATTTCGAGGAGCTGGTTTTCTGGGGGCTTCTCGAACTTCAATTAGTTCCCTAAAATGTAAGACAGATTTCATTTTTACTTTCCTACAAAATCTAAAATTAAAAATTCTAACTATAAGTTCAGTTTTTAAATTTCAGAAATGATACAGCATGCCAGTGTGGGGAAGCCCTAAGAGTAGGGATGGCTGGAGGGGCCCCCAAATTCAGCACAGTTTTACTAAAGGCTGAGATTACAGACAGACACCAAACAAAGGCACATGGGTCCAAGTCTACAGAAAATCAGACACAAGCTTTCTTTACTTTTATTTATTTATTTGGGGACAGGGTCCAACTATAAATCCTGGATGCCCTGAAAAATCTAGTCAAGGCTGGTCTCAAACTCAGAAAGATCCACCTGCCTCTGCTGACCCAGTTCTGGGACTAAAGGTGTGCACCACCAAGTCTGGTCAAGAATAGCAGTTTTAAACTGGATGTGGGAGCATACATCTTTAATCCCAGCGCTCAAGAAGCAGAAGCAGGTGGATCTCTGAGTTTGAGGACACTAGGGCTACATAGAAAGACCCTGTTTCAAATAAACAAACCAATTAATGCAATATAATATAATATAATATAATATAATATGTGGAGTAACAAAGGGAAGCACTGAATGTCAACTCTGGCCTCTGCATATACATGCATAAGAACATGCACACACATATACACACCACGAATCTTTATCTAAAACACAGGATGTAAAACTGGTACTTGAAAGGCCCTTTTCTAAGCTGTCTGTAACCTCAGCTCATTCAGACCACAGTGCAGCATGCCACATACACTCACTTGGAGAGCATCCTCTTGATGCACAAATACAAATACTATTCCCTGACCAACTGGTATGGGATGAAGAAGGGAGATTTTATCTTAGTTCCTACAGTGTTCTAATTTCAACAGGAAATAGTAAGACATCAAACTCCATAAATCCCTTGGGCCTATCTCCTTCTAATCTTTTAAATAAAATATAAGCAAAGAGGCTGGAATCCTGTGTCACAAATGCTGCACCTAAGATATTAGCCATGCCTCTTATCTTATCTAGTGCCTTCCCTGAGCTCTTAAACTCCTAACGTGTAGCAGCTTCAATACAGGTAAAACAACAGGGTTCAGTGCCAACATTACTGCCTTACACCTTACCTAATCCCTTTACTAGTCTGATGAGGTCAGAGACCCTGCCTTCTAACCTGAGACCCTTATCTCTAAACCCTCAATGTTAGGAGCTTCCTTTTTCCTATGGTTGTTGTTGGAACCTTGTATCGCAGCTACTATGTTGTGAGTGGCCAGCATTACTAAAACATATTTTTTTTTTGATATGTTTGTGTGTGCGTACAATGTATGTGCACACCATGTGTGGAAATGCAGGCCCTCACGTGCCATGGCACTCATGTAGAGGTGAGAGGACAACCTTCGGGGTCAGTGGTCACTGTCCACTTTGTTTCAGACAAGGTGCCTTGTGTTTGTATCACTGCAGATGTCGGAATAGCTGGCCAGTGAGCTTCCAGGACTGCCGTCTCTGCTCTCATCTAGGAGCAGCACTGGGTAGCACACAGCGGTGCTGTGTCTTACTCTGTATCAATTCTGACAACGGAAGCTCTGGTGCTCATGTTTACACAGCAAGCACTGCATCCAAAGAGCCATCCCTTCAGTCCTCACTTCTGCTGGAGACATGGTCTCACAAGGGTGGCCACTGACCTCATTATCCTCCTGCCTCAGCCTTAATAGTAGCTGGGATTACAGGAGTACACCAACACACCGGCCTGAAATCAAGAGCATTTTGTTATTTTGTTTTTTGAGAAAGAATGTCATTCTGTAGTTCATTCTGGCTTGGAATTTGGTATGTCTGGTCTCATAGAAACCCTTGTGCCTCAGTCTCCCAAGAGCTGTATTACAGGTGTGAGTCAACATACCCAGCAAAAATTTTAAAAATTATATTTAAATGAATGAGCCCAGGCTGAGCTCGGAATTGTTATAGAGTCAGTCTCCTAAGTGTTGGAAGATAGACATGTGTTAGGACTGTCAGTTTATGAGATGCTGGGCATCAGACCCGGGTTTCATGCAAGCTAGAAAAGACACCCTACCGAGCCCCAGGTCTGAGCACCTGCCAAGTCCAGACTTGAATTTGTTATTAAATTTATACTGAAATACATAGACAATTTTCAAGGCATATGTATATAAAAAATAGAAAATGTTGCTGGCTGGTTTTATGTCAACTTGACACAAGTTAGAGTCACTGTAAAAGAGTCTCCATAAGATTAGTCTGTAGGGCATTTTCTTAACGAGTGGTTGATAGAACCCAACCCATTTTGGGTGATGCCAACCCTGGGCAGGTAGTTCTGGGTTGTATAAGAAAGCCTAATACTGACAAGTTCAGTAACACTACAATTTCACTAAGGCGTATGTAAAATTTCCAGGTATATATAACTGTCCAATTAAAGTTAGTCATCTCAGATTTTCTAGGTTCTTACTAAACATTTAAGACTCATTAAGTTTGACAAATACTACTGAACTAGGTCATGAGAACATGAAGTTGAGATGGTGAGGATCATTTCTCAAATAGTGTGGACTTCTGATTACACTACCTTTCACCCGAACTGAAAGCATCTCGAGAAACAGATGATGACCTCGTGTGTCCAACACTGCCAGTGTGAGATCGCCTTCCTTTTGCTGACGGCGTATCTAGAGGTATCTCTCCCAAACCCTGTAAGGAAATACAAAGTCGATGGGGGACATAATTAAAATAGCAGTGCATTAACTTACACAGCGGCTTTTCAAAGCAGCCTGCTAAAACACACAATGTGTTTAACAGAGCCTGGAGAAATGGCTCAGTGGGTAATAGCACTTGCTGTGCATGCCTGATACCCGAGTTCAATTACTGAAACCTATATAAAAGTAGAATTGAATGGGGAGAACCAATACTACAAAGTAATTCTGACCTCCACAAGCTCATGAGGACATGCTCACAACTGCACACACACACACACACACACACACACACACACACACACACACGATAAATGTGTGAAACGCTAAGTGTTTAATAATAGAGGTTTTTAAAGGTACTAGATACACAAAATACCTTGGGTCTGATGGTAAACTAACAGATTTGATGCCAGCACTGTCAAATTTACAGTGTATGTTAGTATGCTGTATGATTACACACTCTCCCCTTACCACCGTACTGAGAATTAACCCGGGGCTTTGTCCATTAGTGATCTAATTCATGGTCACTGTTTATTTATCTTAAATAGGATCTTACCATGTAACTGCCTGGAACTCACTACTCAGACCAGCCTACTACTAGCCAAATTCACAGAACTCCACCGGCCTCTGCCTGCCAAGTGCTAGGATGAAAAGTGTGAACCACCAAACCCTGTCTTACTCTCTAAAAATTAAAAAAAAAGATTACATTTTATTTTTGATTATCTATATACATATAGGAATTTGAACATCAAGTCCAGTGCCCATGGAAGCCAAAAGAGGGCATTAGATCGCCTGGGTGGAGTTACAGGCAGTTGTGAGCTGTCCACTGTGATGGTGAACTCAAGGCCTCTGCAAGAGCAGTATCACCGTTTAATCACTGAACCATTTTTCCAAAACTTAAAGTACTTTTCTCAAGGCTTAAAATGTACACAGAAAAGAAACATAACTCGTAAGTAGTGAATTTCTATATAAATTTGGAGCGAGAACACACATTGGTTTAGCACCATTTTAGACCCCGTGGGTAAAGGCAATGCTGCCAAAACTGGGTGGAGGCTGGGCCCTAGAATCCACAGGAAGGAAGAGAAAACTGCTGTCCTCTAACCTACATGCATACTTATCATGGTATACACACATACACACACACACAATTATAGATTTTTCTATTTATTATACTGGAAATGACTCATAAATACAATCAACTTCATTTTAGTCAGCTGTTTGCACGGCTATTTTAATAAGTTCTACATGAGTAAGAATCTCTATGAAATAGTCAATATCAACGGACAGAAAAATAGCTCTAAGACGCCTGTTACTATATATCTTTGTAATATCCCCTTATAAATCAATCTTCCTGAGCTCGTCATTAAAAAATGACATAAAGCTACAATATAAGAATATACATTAAACACATTAAAAATAAATGTGCTTTCTCATTTTTTCTCCTATCCTCATTTTACAAAAAATAAAAATTCTAGTTGCAGAATGAAGTACTGAGCTGAATAGCATATGGTTGGAAACTTTCAGAACGATAATGCAAGCTTACAATTGTAACAGACCAAACAATATCCTAACACATTACCTTAATATTTTCTTCAAACAGTGTCTTATTATCATTTAGGTTTTTTGTTAAGACTTATTTTAACAATTATTTATATTGTCATCTTATGTGTTTTGCCTGGTATCTGGAGTTCAGAAGAAGATACTGGGTCCCCTGGAACTCAAGTCACAGATAGTTGGGAGCTTCCACGTAGGTGCTCGGTATTGAACCTGGGTCCTCTGGAAGAGTACCTATGGTCTTAACCACTGAGCCATTGCTCCTGCCTCATAATTTAAATCTTAATAAGCAATAACATTTACTCTTCAAGTCCAATAGCACATATATCTACTTAGAATTGCAGGTTAACTCTACTTCAAGATGGGTAACATAGAAATGATCTAAAAAACAGTTGTTACTATTCTTTACACTTTTAAAAATATATATTAGTTATTTGTATTTATTTATTTATTTCTTAATCCAATATATATTTATTTATTTGGAGTGCGGACCGGTCTTTTGAAACTGGGCACTTATGTTGTCAAGGGTAGAACGACACTCAACATGTAGCTGAGGATCACCTGAACTCCTTTGATTCTCTTTCAAGTGCTGTGAGAGCCTAGCTTATAAGCTTTGCTTTTTAAATTGTTTTACACAACAAACAATTTACATACCTTTTGCCGTAAATTTTTAACAGATTCTTTAATATATGGCAAATCTTTAGATGGGATATACTTTTCAAGCATTTTTTCAAAGTTAGGATGACCCATCATGAGGAAAAGCATCTTTCGACCATAATACCTATGGATATGTGAGAAACACATTAGTGCATTTTCATACAGTAACCAACTGTTTCTGTCCTGGATGCATTTTGCCCAATGGGTGAGGCTATGACAGAGACTGCTGGTCCCTTAAGTAGGTAAATCACTGAAATTCAGATACACTGACTGTCCTTGAGCGAATAGCATTCCCTATTCTCCCGTCTGCCCCTTTTTAAAGTTACTGCAACTTAAATCTTTCAGTCACGAGTCAGACGGAAAGCACAAAGGTATGGCTACTCTTGTTTGTTTTTTATATGCACTATGTACAGTCCATATTCAAGCTTATATGAAAACGCATCATCTCTGTCTTGGCCTCCTCACACACTGACCTCGCTGCTCTCCCCCAGCCAAACATCTGACCTTAGTTAACCTCTACATCCTATCCTCCCGACTCACTCTCTCCTTTCCTAACTCAAACTTAGCTAGATGCCACTCCTCAAAATTCTATTTTCTGTCATTTAAGGTATAAATTTTAAAAATGAACCCGATGTTAGATGACACAATTAAGGTTGCTATGCTACTGAAATGGTGGGTCTTCAAACTAGGATTTTTAGATAAAAGTAAATATGATCCTTTTAGGGTAAAGGAGCCAAATGTCAATCTAACAGAGGAACGCCAGGCACCATAGGGGTGCACACAGGAGATATGCCTGAGCAGAGATCTTAGCAGCACAGTAGCACTCCAAACAGAGGCTCGGCCCTGAAATAAGCTACAGTCACACTTGTGCTGACAAGTTCTGTGAAAGCAGGATCTAGAGTGATCTCAGGACAGGCTGTCAGCCAGATCTCTTCAGATGTACTGAAACTGCAGAAGAGAAGACAGTACAGAACGAACAGGGACTCCCCACAAACAGAGGAAGGTCCTACAGCTGCTCAGGTAAGTCAGCCCACTCAGCTTAACTTCAACAACAATTCAACTTGTTAGCCTAGAATATGAAGACAAATAAGGCTCAGGACTACAGGAAAGGCCGAAACAAACAAGAAAGCAAATGGCCGCCCTCAAAAACATGAGCAACAGTGAAATTCACAGATTAATTAGAAGAATTTTGCATTCTCTAACTATAAATAATGACAACATGAAGTAGTAGAGAGGCTTAGTGCAGACCGGGTGCATAGCTCTGTGGTACAGCACTTACCTAGAGTGTATTAGGTTTTAGGCACAAAAAGGAAAAACACAAAACAAAAAAGTAAAACAAAGACACACACCACATACCCACTTAGAATCCTTTATTTCTCCCTCTAACTAGTCAATGGTTTAATCCTCTTGAATTCTTGTTTTATTTTGTTTGAGGCAGGGTTTTACTGTGAGACCAGGCTAACCTGGTTTTGAGATAATCAGCCTGCTTCAGCGTCTGAGTTTTATTAGGATTACAGGTATGTAGTATTATGTCTGGGTCTCCTGAATGTTTCTAAATGTTTTTATTTGTTTGTTTTATATTTTCAAAACAGGGTTTCTCTCTGTAGTCCCAAATGTCCTGTAACTCACTCTGTAAAACAGGCTGGCTTTGATTCAGCGATCTGCCTGCTGCTGCCTCTTGAGTATTGGGATTAAAGGTTTGTGCCATTACTCCTAGAAGCTATATATTTCCCCTGGAAAATTCTAATTTTTTTTTGGAAGACAATACTGGTTACTATGTCCAGCTTTCCTAAATTTACAAAACCTAACCAACACAGACAAAATAACTTACTGAAGTGATGTAGATGAGGAACTTAATCTAGGCTTCTGACTAAATAAAATTACTTTAACATCACCGTAAGTATCAAGCTATAAATACTATCTTGCCTTCTTTTGTTGAATGTTATTAATCTTCCTAAACTGCTTCAAGTAACAGTCACCAGAAGCTCATGAAATATTCTAAGTACAAATATACCATTTTCTGCTGATAATACACTGTTAACTATGTTCTTGCATTTTACATTTGTACCTCTTTCCTTGATTTTTATCAAATTGCTTTAAAAATGTAATTTTTCCCTAAATATGTTACCTGACTTTTGCACAACAATGAAGTTCTGCTATTTCTCTGCCCATTACAGTCTTGTGTCACTTAAAAACTTACTACTAGGAATTATGAACTGTCATCTGTATATTCAGAGAATTCACGATGTGCTTACTCAGTATCATTTACAAACTGGCAATTAAGAATCTCCTCAGAATCAAATTTGAGACCTCATTTCTCCATTTAGAAAAATGTTAAGATTTTTAAAAACCTTGTTTTCTCCTTCTAAGGCCTTTTTTTTTCTTTTGGTCTTTTGAGAGAGGGTTTCTCTGTGTAACAGCTCTGGCAGTCCTGGAACTCACTCTGGAGACCAGGCTGGCCTTGAACTCACAGAGATCCGCCTGCCTCTGCCTGCTTTTGCTGGGAAAGGTGTGTGCCACCACTGCCTTGTAACATGAGGGCTGGCTTGTTGGGGTATCTGTTCCCGCCCGGTACCCCATAATCGGCAAGTCCCAGAGAAAATCAATCACACAGAGATCTCTATAAGTTATAAAGCTGATTGGCCCATTAGGTCAGGCTACCCATTAGCTCTTATAACTTATGTCACCCTATTATCCTTATCTACGTTAGCACATGGCTCAGTACCTTTTCCAGCGGGGCAGCTTACATCTTTCCTCTCTGGTGGTCTGGGCAGAACTGCCGAGGGAGCTTCCTGCTTCCCAGAATACTCCTGTTCTCTTTTTTCCACCTCTACTTCCTGTCTGGTTTTCCCATCTATACTTCCTGCCTGGCCAATCAGCGTTTTATTAAAATATGATTGACAGAATACAGACAATTCTCCCACACCACTGCCTGGCCTAAGGTCTTATTTCTAAAATTTAGGGGCCAGCAAGATGATTCAGTGAGTAAAGGCACTGGCTTCCAAGCCTGATGACTTAATTTCAATCCCCAGAAACCACGTGATAGAGACTGTCCTTCAACCTTCACATGCACACCATGGCACATGTATGTCATGATATGCTCATGTGCCACACATACAAAATGAGTAAGTGTAAATTTTTTAAACAAACAAAAAAGACTTAGCAAATATTACCAATTATTCACCTGGTTTCTTGTGAGCTATCTTGAGCAAACTTAGCAGCAGCAGGCAGTAAGCGTTCAGCCATATCCTTTGTTCCAGACAAAATACGCTCAGGTTCCATAAATTCTACTACCTCTGCCAAATGCTGGGCTGTACATCTTCTCACTGCAATGTGCAGATGGCTGCAAAGCAAACACCACCATGCAAATCCAAGTTGAGGCATGAACTATTTCCAACAGACGTAGTTTAACAAATTTGATAAAAAAATTAACAATTTGTCATGGGGCAGGGAGGTTGCAGGGGCAGAGGGGTTGATACGAAGGGATGGGGAAATGAATGGGATAGAGATGATGTGAAAGAAACAAAGAATAAAAAGAAAGGAAAAAAATTAACAACTTCTCATCAATCACCCTGAGAGGCTGAAATGACAAATGATTCACATTAGTTATCTCTACCCAAGAAGATACATCAAAACTGTCAATTCTTTTTCATGTATTAAGGCTTGTTTTACAGCCTATATTGTGATTTAGAGAAGGTTCTATGGGCTTCTGCAAAGAATATATATTCCACACCTGTGAGATGAAATATTCTGCAAACAGGTATTAAATCCAACTGGTCTGTGTTGTTGTTGTTATTATTATTATTAGTGTGTGTGTGTGTGTGTGTACACGTGCACGTGTGTGTGTGAGAGAGACATGGAAATGTGTGTGAGTGTGGCAGCACACACGTCGAAGTGCATATGTGGAGGTGAGAAGACAACCTTCAGAACCTTTAGGAGTCACTTCTCTTCTTCTACCACGGATCCAGCTATAGAGTTCCAGTAGTCAGGCTTGGCAGCAGGCACGCATGCACCTGACCTGCTGAGCCACCTCATCTGATGAAGTTTCTTTGGTGAATTTTAGTTTGGTTGACCTATCAAAAGACTTGAGTATGACAATGAAGTTGCACACTGGTACTGAACCAAGACCTTTCTGGCCTTGCATTTCCTTTTAGTGTTTCTCTTCTGAAGTTAGGAGTATCAACAATAAGTGCATTTGCTACTTAACAGTTTCTCGATAAACTGTTCCCTTTATTTATTATTATTTATTATCCCTGGTTAGTTTTGATTTGAATGCAGTTGGTATCAAAACAGCTATACGAGCTTGATTCTGGCCTCCATTTGCTTAAGATGTTGACATCCATGTTTTGCCTCTCAGTTGGTATCTTTCCCAGTGAGGTGTGCACTTCCTATGAACAGGTGGATTTGGTTTTCAATCTAGTCAGTTGGTCTGCATCTTTCATTTTTATTTATTTATTATTTATTTTGACGAAGGTTTTTGCTATATAGCTTTAGTTAACCAGGACCTTGCTAAGGCCAGGATGATTTCTAACTAAGACATCTGCCTGCTTCTGCCATCCAAGTGCTGGGATTAAAAGTGTATGGCAACACATCCAGCATGATCTGCATCTGTTAAATGGTGAGTTCAGCTCACTTCTATTTACGGTTCCTATGGAAAGGTTGGCAGTTCGCAATGATTTTTGTTAACTGGCTCTGGTTGGTTGGACTGTTGTTATTTTCTTTCTCCCTAATCATATTAGGGGCTTGATTGCTTACTGTGCCAGACGTGGTGGGTTTTCTCAGGTCATCTACTCCTCTCATGAAATGTATTTTTTCAGTACTCACATGAATGAGACTTTCTTTCTCTTAGGTGTATAGTACTCCTTGAAGTATCTTCTTCGGTGCTAGCTTGGTTACCATGAATTGCCTTAGTTTGTGCATTATGTTGAAATGTCCACGTTTCTCCATCAGATTTAAAAGATAACTTCGCCATAAATAACAGCCAAGGTTGGCGATTATTTACTTCTTCAGCTTAGAATATATCATCCCACGCTTTCTGGGCTTTGAGTGTTACTGATGACAGATTTGATGTAATTCTCACAGGCCTGCCTTTTAGGTAAGCTGGTGTTTTGCGCTTATAGATTTGTTTTTGTTGTCATTATTAAAATAATTTACTTAAGAGTTTGCATGTGCTTCTGAGCACATGTGTGGGTATGTATGCTGTGTGAAGTGTGGAGGTCAGAGGATGATGGTGGGAATTGTTCACATCTTGCACCATGTAGGTTCTGAGGATCAAACAAAGGTCATCAGGCATGCTGGCAAGGGGCTTTTGCCAGCTGAGCCCTCTTGCCAGCCCCTTCCTCATAGCTTTTAATATTGTTTCCCTGTTTTGACAATACTTTTATTAGCATTTATCAACTATACATAATAATGGGGTTCATTACAACTTTTTACATCTTGACTAAAATTCATTATGGAGAGGTTTCTCTTGATCATGTCTTTTGAAGTTGTAAATGCCTTTGTGTTGTGAGTTACATTTCCATACCAGGCTCAGAGGCAGCTTCTAGCCTGCCATCTTACCCTAAAGAAGTGATAAAGATAACTGACAACAGTTAAACTTTATTTAGCTCCAGATTTTGAACAAATGTGATATCATTAGAAAAACAAATTTATGGCTCTTTTCCTGTTTAACATGATTTTTTATCATGGAGAAATTATTTTTGCAAAATTTGCTTCTATCCTCACTGTGCACACAAGTATAATTTAATTTTTAGTTTAAGGGTATTTCAAGATTATTTTGACATTACCTTTGTCCTCCATTGATAAGAGCAATGACTGCACGTGCAGGAGTGACATTATTAACCATAGCTCTCAATGCCTTGTCCACATCTTCTCTTATGAATGTGTTAGACTCTCCAGCCTTGTGCAGCAAAGCTCTTACTGCAGTATCCAGCTCTTGATCCATGCTCTTCCTCAGATACGTGAAGAGGTCACTTAGACACACCACAGCAGCACGTGACACCCCAGACCGTAAATTTTTCACCTAAAAAACAACTTTGAAACGTGAACTTCCCCCCACATGTCAGAAATGCAGCAACGTCACTCTGGAATGAGTTCTGACATTAAAGTAAGATATCTGATTATGTGAACTCGCTCTGTAAAACAGGCTGGCCTTAAAGTTACAGAGATCCACCTGCTTTGCCTCCCCAGTGTTGGGATTAAAGTCTTGCACCACCATACCTGGTCATGATTATGCATTATTATATATCCTCCATATCAACATCAAATATTACAAATTAAGAAAGCCCTACTTCATATATAAATACACTCAAAATGTAGTATAGAATTGTCTAAACAGTTTGAAACTCAAGTAAATGTCTATGGAAATTTCTAATTAAACAACACCCAATTTATCTGAAAACATTACCTCTTGAACTACTGCAAAGTTTGTTTCGTGCAACTTTGTGTTCAACAAATCAGAGTGAAAAGCAGCTAAGCATCGGATAAAATTCAATCCCTCCATCTTCTTCTCCCTATGGACAGACAAATGACAAAATCATCTTTCAAATGGGATTTAATTAGAACAGAATCTCAAATGTCTTTTTTTGGGAGGGGGCAATGAGGAAACTATTTTCTTCCTTAATAGTTAGTAATCTTAAAAATCCAAGTAAATAACTTTTTTCTTTTCTTTTTTTTTATTTTTTATTTATTTTTTTGGTTTTTCTAAACAGAATTTCTCTGTGTAGTCCTGGCTGTCCTGGAACTTGCTCTGTAGACCAGGTTGGCCCCAAACTCAGAGATCTGCCTGTTTCTGCCTCCTGAGTGCTGGGATTAGAGGTATGTGCCACCTCCACCACCACAAATAACTTTCAATAGCAAAAACCAACATAAGAGTCAAGCTAAGGTATTATTTCAGTAAAAGTACCGTCTTCTTTCTGGAAAGTAGGAGACAAATAACAAATGAAAGTTAAGAAAAATAGTAAGAAAAAAAGCTACCTGTTAGCTCATTAGTGAGGAAACAACTCAAAAGCAATGAAAAACACCACCAGTTATTTCTAGGGCTCCTATTTGTCTTTCATTATTGGACTTAAAGGGTCAGACAAAGTCAGTGGATAGGAACCAAAGACGGTGGGACTCAGCTGGTATTTAGGTGTAATATCAGAGTTGATGGTTTTCTTTTTCTTTTTTTTTGCGGGGATGGGGTGAGGGGGTTCGACATAAGGTTTCTCTGTGTAACAGCCCTAGCTATCCTGGAACTAGCTCTTGCAGACCAAGCTGTCCTTGAATTAAAAGAGATCCGCCTGCCTCTGCCTCCCAAGTGCTGGGATTAAAGGCATGCGCCACTACTGCCCAGCTAGATTTGATGGTTTTCATCTGGTAGGTATAGAGAAAGTGAAGTATGGAAGAACTTTAGCTGGTAATGCTGCTCTGTTCATTGTGTGTACTATCTGTGAGCATGGGCATATGCCATGACCTTTGTGGAGGTCAAAGGGTTCTCTGGAAGCGCTGCTAGTGTTCAACCACTGAGCCATCTTTCCAGCTCAGATTTATTTTATACATAAGCGTGTATATGTTCATATGTGAGTGCAGGTGCCCGTGGAGTTCAGAATAGTGTGTCAGATCCCAGGGAGCTGTAGTTACAGTTGACTGTAATCTACCGCATGGATACCGGAAATCACAACCAAGTCTCTACAATAGCAAACAAGTGTTCTAAACCAAAGATCCATCTCTCCATCCCTAGACATTTTTTGGTGTGGGAGAATTGTCTGTATTCTGTCAATCATATTTTAATAAAACGCTGATTGGCAAGGCAGGCAGTATAGGCGGGAAAGCCAGACAGGAAGTAGGGGTGGAGCAAAGAAACTGGGAGTATTCTGGAAGCAGAAGCTCCCTCCGCCACTCCTGTGCAGACCACCGAAGAGGCAACATGTAAGCTGACAGCTGAAATAGGTACCAAGCCACGTGGCTAACATAGATCAGAATAATGGGTTAATATAAGCTATAAGAGTTAACGAGAAGCCTGAGCTAATGGGTCAATCAGCTTTATAACTTATAGAGATCTCTGTGTGATTGATTTTCTCTGGGATTTGCCGGCTGTGGGGTACCGGGCGGGAACAGATATCCTAACAAGCCGGCCGTCATGTTACAATTTTTAAATTCATATTTTTTTGTCTTTTGCTTGTATTTTTTAGGGACAAAGAATTATATAGTTTAGGATACCTCAAACTCATTATGTAGCAGGGTCTGGCTTTGAACTCCTGACTTTCCTGCATCTACTTCCTGGATTACAGGAATGCACCACCTCAACATCTCTAACATACAACAGCAGAGTTGAGTACTCACAATAGAGACATCTGCTATCTAAAAATATTTGCTCTCTGACTCTTTACAAGAAATGATGGCTAAGGAAAGACTGCCCTGATGTACAAAATAATGGTAACTTAAGCCGGGTGGTGGTGGTGCACGCCTTTAATTCCAGCACTTGGGAGGCAGAGGCAGGCAGATCTCTGTGAGTTCGTGGCCAGCCTGGTCTACAAGAGCTAGTTCCAGGACAGGCTCCAAAGCTACAGAGAAACCCTGTCTTGAAAAACAAACAAACAAACAAAAAAGTAGCTTAGAGAACACCAGAGAACTTAATTCCATAGTACTCCTAAAAGAAAACAGAATAAAAGAATCACAAGGTATTATAGCAGGAAAAGAACCAAGAGACTGATTGTTCTAAGGCAAAGTAAAAAGTTTACCAAGAGGAGAGACCAAGAAATGAATAGTGTAGGCTTAGCAAAATAGTGACTGTGTAGTTTTAGTGAAAGGATTCCTAATTGAAAGCCAATTAAAGAAGATTAAAAAGGGGAACTCAAGGTAAAACTATAGTTAATGGGTCATATTTTTTTTGAGAATGCTCCGTTTAAGGAGGAAGGTAAGTAGAAATGGGGAAATGCATACAGCTTATGGAGACTTATTTTGAAATTAGAAATATATGTTACAGCACACTCTTGGCATGGGGGTTTACTGGGGTCAATCCAAGGGCCGGCACATGTCAAGCATATGTGTCACCATGGAGCCCATGTTGAACCCAAGTTCAACAGCCCAGTTGATGCTGATGAGCATAGTCTAGCAGAGGCTAAAAGGCCGATGAAGTGTAGAAGAGTACTGCAGGAGACTCTACGGAACGGAAGAAAATAAGAGAAAAAACAGCCAGCAGATACTACAGCGCAAATACTGCCAAGCAGATATAGCATTTGGTATTTTCAATGATCCCAATACTGCAGTTGTTTCTAATTTGTTTGTCATACATTATATTTCAAGTGAATTATGAGATATACAAGATTGCCAGGCAAAACTTGGGTGTATGGAGATATACAATTTAATGTCAAAGTTTTGCATACTCATAATAAAGCTAAAGCATGTTTTTATGATATATAAGTTAAAACATTAATACATTTGGGGCAGAAGTAGTAACATTAATAAGTTGAAAAGCATCAGTTGTCTAAGAATTAAACTAATCTCAATGATACAGGGATAATATTAAGAACGGTTTTAACTTACCAGTCCTCATCAGCTAGAAGCCGTAAGGCTTCTGTTAGGGCTATTTCTGGTTTGGAAAACGGTCGTAATTCCAACGAATCCATTATCTCTGGACTATGAGTGACAGAAGACATTCTTTCTTTATACTGTGGTATGACTCCGGCAGATGTTTCACCTAAAACAAAACATTAAATAAGGCAACAAAGAACCTTTACATAAAAGATATAAACACACTCAACTATAGATGTTAAATGAGTATTTCCTCATATAACATTAGTAGATTTAGTTTGTTAAAACAAACAAAAACTTTGCAATAACTCCAAATCACATCTATTTAAAACTATATCTTTTATACTAATTTTTTCATATAAAATCATTCTTTTCTCATATAAAATACTGCAACTGGAATATCCTGGTAAGACTTACAATTTCAATAACTAAGAGTGACACAGAGCAACTTAGTTATAGCATTAGCAACATAAGGAAGAGGTACATCCAAAATTATTAATAAATTCATGAACCTAACCAGATCTATGGTTTTTATTGTTGTTTTGGGTTTGCCTTTTTAGGGCTTATCCCACCATCAATCATGCTTTGTTCATTATTTTCTCTAAGCAGTGGAGCTCATTAAAACCCTTCACAGAATGGGGGTCTCTAGCTGCACATATTCTCTCCAAGGACCCAGATGCCACTACCCTGTGAATACTGACTATGAGCAGCCTTCCCTTTGGAGAAGCTTCTGTCCCCCTCCCAGCACAGACGCCCTCTCCTGTTGAAGGTGATATTTTGGTCTTGGGATTTCCTCTTAGGAATCTGTCACTTTGATGGATGCATACTATGCGCATAAAGGTTGCTTGACTGGGGCTGAGGTAGCGAAATAAAAAAAGTATAGTTTTAAGAACAAAAGGAAATCAATACGGTATAATTTTTAAAAACCACAGATATATACTTTCTTTACTATACAGCTATTATAAAAGGAAGGTACACAGCATTTACATTGAAATTATATCAATAGAGACCTTTTCTATTGATATAGTATTTTTATTAACTTATTCTTTGACAAGTTCATACATATATATAATATATTCTGGTCACGCAATCCCTTCATCGTCTCTACTCTTCCTCCCCACACTCAGCTATTTACTGCACAGTTCTCAGATATAAAGCACTACCTGAGACAGTGGGAAGCATCATCTTTGAGCACGCATAATTTAAGACTTGGGCTAAGTATTGGGAAGAAAAAGACCACAAAGAATGGGCTTTTGTAAGTGAGTAAAAATCCACTGGTTCTCTTTCATGGAATAATTTTTAAAAGGAACTATTAGGTACTAGAAAATGATCATAAAAGATTATTACCCGTGATATCTTGGTAAGGAAATGCTGAAATCACAAAAAATGAGAACTTTCATTTGACGCTGTACACCAATTATACATACAAATTCTTCAAAAATTGAAAATCCAAAAGTAACAGTGTATTAGCAATACTTGGTTGAGTTCTTTATTATAGACCTTGATGAATGTTTTGCAAATTATTCTTTCTTTAGATTTAGTTTATCTAGTGTATGTATTACATATGAGAAAATGCCAGTGTGTGTAGAAGCCAAAAGAGGGTGTCAGATCCCCTGGAACTGGAGTTACAGGTGGTTGTGAGCCACTCAATGTGGGTGCTGGGAAGCAATAACTCACATGTGAGGAAGACGATGTGCCAAACAAAGAATAAATGAACCCACTTCAATTAGTGCTCCTGGTTCAGACCTACTTTCCAGGAGGCATCATGTATACACACACACACACACACACACACACACACACACACACACACACACATACACACAGAGCGAGAGAGAGAGAGAGAGAGACACACACACACACACATGCACACACTGAGTATTGAAACATTACAACCCTGAAAGAACTGTATATAAAAGCTAGGGTAGTAAATGCTTAGAATCTCAGCACTTGGGAGGCAGAGACAAAATGGCCAGGAGTCACCTGAGGTTACACAGTGTGTTTAAGGCAAGCCTGTGTTATGCTACATAAAATCTTATCTTAAAAACATGACCAACTATGCTCCGGTGGATAGCCCCAACCTCATGCACATATGGGCAGCACTAATGGGACTCTGGATTTACAAGAAAAAGACATGAAATTGTGAGGGGCGTGTTGGGAGTAATGGCGTCCCAGTTAATTTTATGTCAATTTGATACAAACTAAAACCATCAGAGAGGAGGGAGCCTCAATTGAGATAATGCGTGTCTAAGACTAGGGTGTAGGTCATTTCCTTAATTGGTGACTGATGTAGGCTCAGCTCATTGTGGGTGGAATCACTCCGTGGGTTCAAATAAGAATGCAGGCTGAGCAAGACAATGGGAGAAAGCTAGTAAGTAGGATCCCTTCAAGGTCTCTGCATCAACTCCTGCCTCCAGGTTCCCACCCTGACTTTCTTTGATCATGAACAGTAATGTGGAAGTGTAAGCCAAAAACAAAACAAAACAAAACAAAAAACCCTTTCCTTCCAAAGTTGCTTTATGTCACGATGTTTCTTGACAGCAACAGTAACCTTAACTAAGACATTAAGTAAGGCAGATGAGCAACAAGCCATTTATTTAGCTGGCTATGGTAGTTCAAGCCAGTATCTTCAGAACTTGGGAAGGTGAGTCAGAATTGCCACTAAGTAAAAAGCCAGCCTGGACCACGGAATTGTCTCAAAACAAAAAGTTCACGTAGACCTAGGATCATCCTTTGAGTAACACTAATCTACCGAACTGGAAACTGCTGATATTTTTAGTTTAAAAAAATGAGTTTGTATGTGTGGGTAGGTGGGGTATGTGCATGTGAGTGTAGATACTCTTGGAAGCCAGAGGCTTCAGACTCACATGAACCTAGGGTTATATGTGATTGTGAGCCACCTGATATGCTTTTGCCAAGAACCAAATTAAAACACTCTTAATTACTGAGCTATCTCCCCGGTCCCATGGAATTTTCTTAAACAGAGATATACCCAGCTAGAACTTTGTTATCAGAAAATATTACTGCCTATATGCTTATAACTATAAACAGAATTAAAATATTTAAATTCTGGTTGACCTACATCACAATTTTCTAAGTATATTCATGTTTAAGTAATATATGAATGACTTTAAGAAAGCAGTCATAGGTTTCAGAAATATAATGTAAAGGATGCATTATAAACAAAATCAATCAACATCAGTAGCAACAATGAGTACTCCCAAATTTATGATTTTTTTTTCTGTTTGTACTTTACTACTACTCTTAGTGGAGTAACACTGACCCAGTGGATGTTTATGTCTTTTGAAATTTTATTCTATGTGTATGAGTATTTTGCACATATACATGTGCAAAATATGTGAACATGTGTGTGTATATGTGCACACGTAGTGCTTGAGAGGCAAGAAATGAATGACCATCAGATCTTTGGAACTGAAGTCACAGACAGTTGTGAGCTGTTGTGGGATGCTGGAATGAACCAGGTCACCTAGCCAGTGCTTTTAACCACTAAGCAATCTCTCCAGCTCCTTCTCCCTGGCTTTTATAAGATTAAAACATGGTGAAATTACTTGAGAATATTAATAGCTAAACTTCACAAAAGCCTATTTTAACAGGTTGTAGGGTGATGACTTTAGGTAGCAAATTTACATAGCAACACCTCCCATCTGATTAGCTCTATTCACATAGGATTTCAAGAAGAGTTCTGCACTTCTTGCATACACTAGACCTTTCTATTTTTACTTTAAGAAAAAAATTTGTACACAATTACATTTGTACATTAATTTTCTTCTATTTCTTGATATGCGCTTTAAACTCAACATAAATTTAAGGATGAAAATACAGTCTACAAAGTTTAGTTTAACAAAAGTAATTAAGAAATACTACTTAATGTTTACCAAAGCTCACAAAACAGTTCAATTTAACCTATTCTTTTTTGGTAGTTTGTACTGTAACCAGGAACTATCCATTGGTCTTAAAGGCATCCCAGGAGACAAAGTACTTGACACATAAGCATCAAGACCTGATTTCTATCCCTAGAACCCATGTAAAAAGATGAATGTAGCAGCACAGGCCTCTGATCTCAGCCCTGTGGAGGCAAAGAGAGAAGAATCCCTACAGCTGTGGCCAACTATTGTAGCTGACTCTGTAAGATCCAGGTTCAGTGAAGACTTCAACTCAAAAAACAAGGTAGAAAATGACTTAAATGTCAACCTGTGACCTCCATAAACCCATACACAAGTACACGAATACAAACACATTAGTGCACACACCTGAACATGAAGACAAACACACACAAACACTCAAAAGCTATGCCCCAGAAATCATGGCACCTACTCTTGCTTAAGTGTAAAATATATAGTCAAAAAATACTAAAGGACAAATAGACTAGATGGTCAATAGTGACTTAATTTTTTAAATTACATTTATTCTTGTGTACACACGCCATGGTGCACTTTTGGAGGGCAAAGGATTACCTGTGAGAGTTGCTTCTCACCTTTCATTATGTGGTTCCAAGGATCAAACAGAGGTCATAGGTTTGGCAACACGTGCCTTTACCCTCTGAGCTAGCTCATTAGCCTTAGAGAGACTTTTTGATCAAGATCTAACACAAATTCCACTATCTCAATGACCTCAACTATAACAAGGGTATAGCACTTCCAAGTGAAAGAGGGATATCTCCAGTGAGTATGGAAGGGACTGTTAGGTCAACCTGAATTTAAAAACAATCTAGATACTCACATATGTAAAAAACTGAAGCCTGTTTCCAGTTCTTCAAGCTAATCAAAGGCAGAATCATCTACTTTCCATCTATTCCACTGTTCTCTGTTACAACTGTATTGGACCTCATGCACCCACATTAAATAACAAGCATTCGTAACATTACTTACTTTCAGATGTCATTTTCTCAGTTCCTGCATGTTTTATTCGTTCCCAGGGATTCAGCTCTTTCCTTTCACAATCTTTACCATCAAAAAGCTCTTGTTCTTCTTTTCTCTTTTGTCTCATCTTGTCATAAGTAGACTTTGCAATAGAAACTTTAGTCTGCATGAAGAAGTTGAAATGTCTGTGCTGTGGAATATCCCTTCTACACACTATGAAAATGTGTTGCTCTCATTGTTAACAGAAAGATGATTGGCTGATAATAAGGCAGAATTTTTGGGGCAGAGAGAACGCTAGGAAGAAGGGCAAAATCTGAGAAGTCAAGAGACATTCAGAAAGAAGCAAGACAAACATGCATACAGTGTTGAAAGAAGGTGCCATCAAGTGGCAGAGGGTAGATAAGAAATACGGGTTAATTAAAAACGTAAGAGTTAGCTAGTACCCAGGCTGAGCATTTAAAATTAATATAAAGCCTCTATGGTTATTTGGGAGTAACTGCTGAGCCACAGAGAAACTCCACCTACATATGACATTTAGACTTAAATTCAAAGATTTCTTTCTAAAGGAAAAATGGGGGATATGATATAGAAATGATAAAATGGTAGATTATCAAATGTACCCTAATTTAAAAGACAGTAATCTCAAAATATTTTACATTGGTATGGATTTTGGTTTATTGATTAAATTTAAAGTTAATTTTGTTATACTGTATGTATGTTTCTACTCTTGTTTAGGGTATTGTGTTTATGCAGTTCATTTAAAATGTAATATATAATTAAGAAATACAGATTAATAGTCATCTATAATAGTCAAACTTATAGTCAGTTACATTAGGTACGTTTTTAAGGTCATACATGGATATATTTAGATGGATAGTCTTCAAACACTTCAAATATCTACAGAATGTGACATTTAATATGTTTAATAACCAAAGGCTTTTCATGACAGTGAGACACATCTGCTCCTGACAGCATCAATTTACTTCAAAAGAAGATAAAGGGCATTGAAGAAACTCCATATGGGGTTGTTTTCTTTATGGCAAAAGCTAGCCATTTGGGCAAAGAAACTGCCCTTGCCTCAATTGTTGACAGTATACCATCCAAACTGGACCAACAGGATGCAAAAAAAGCAACTGACCAACTTTTTCAGTCCTTCAAAATTCCCTGCTTCTCAGAGATGTCTGTCAGATATACTATGTCTGTAGGCCAAAGTTAGATGCCCCAATGAAGAACTTTGGGTAACTTTCCAGACAGCCAGATGTCCCCATCGTTAGGTAACATTTCACCCTTATGGGATCTTTGATGGAGTTAAAGACTAAAAAATTAAACTTACAGTTTTCCTTTGTTATGATGAAAAGTAAATTAGGTAAAAAACTTTAGACTCACAAAGATAAGATAAATAATAGAGTATTTTCTCTAATTTTGCAAAATACAAATTGACTTGATATTATAATTTTTACTTGATAACTGCTTTTGTTATATATAATTTTACTATGCTAAAGTTAAAAACCTTCCTTTTTTAATTAGACAAAAAGCAGGAAACACTATGGAATAATCCTCTGAGCACTGTGAAAAGGTGTTGCTCTCATTGTTTAAAAAAAAAAAGCTGATTGGCCAATAGCTAGATGGGATTTGGGGGCAGAGACAAATGGCTGAGAAGAAAGTCAGAGTCTGAAAAGTCAAGAGAGACACATAAAGAAGCAATATGAATGTGCTGTGTTGAAAGAAGGGACCTCCACGTGGCAGAGGATAGATAAGATATATGGATTAATTTAAAATGTAAGAGTTAGTTAGTAACAGGCCTTAGCTATCAGATGAGCATTTATAATTAATAGTAAGTCTCTGAGTGGTTATTTAGAACTGGCTGGTGGGAGAGAAAAGTCTGCCTACATACCTGGAAGTATTCAGAAAGTTTAACATTTAAAATATCTTTATCTTAGAAAATTGTGTGTGTGTGTGTGTGTGTGTGTGTGTGAATGCATAAAGAGAAAGAGATACAGAAGCATGCTAGATGTCTATATAAAACAAATGATACTTTTTGTTTTGAGACAGGTTAGTCTTGGCCTCCTATAGCCCAGTTTGGCCTTGGCCTCTCTATGTAGTTGTATTACTGTGAACTCATGATTCTTCTGCCCTTTCTTCTAAAGTGCCAGAACTACAGGTATACATATCTGATCCTAGACCAACTACACAGTTTTCAATCCTTATTTTAGAACTGAAAGAATTATATAGTTCAGCTATCCAACAAAATTCATGCTTAAGAGTATCAGTCTGTCACTGTTGGAATATATACACTCACAATCATAGTATATAAAGCACAGGTTCAGCATAAAATATATTATATATATTTTACGTTATATATTATATAACATATAATGTATATTTATATACTGTACATTAGGTTCAGCATAAAACATATTATATATTATGTTATATACTATATATTTACATATTGTATATCAACAATTTAAGTGATTAAAAATCAGAAATTTCAATTACCTAAAATTTTAATCAAGTGCGGAGACAGCTCTGTGGACAAAGAGTATGTTATTCAAGTTTACTGTTCAAACGGCAGTGGCACACACTTTTAATGCCAGTACTCCAGAAACAGAGACAGATATATCTCTATGAGTTCAAGGCTAGTCTGGTCTACAAAGTGAGTTCTAGGACAGCCAGAGCTGTTACACAGAGAAACCCTGTCTCAAAAAACAAAAATAACAAAAACAACAACAAAAAATGAGTATGCTGTTCAAGCCAAATAAAGCCAGATATTGTGCTATATGCATCTATAACTCCAGTTCTCCTACAGCAAGATGGAAAGAAGAAACAGGAGAATTCCCAGAACCTGTGCAACAGCTAGCCTAGCTTACACAGTGCAGCGACAGAGATGCTCCTTAAAATAAGGTGTAAATTGCAGACCGACACACAAAGCTATGTTCTGGCTTCCACATCAGCATGTGCATTTGTGTGCACACACGTAGACACACACACACACACACTAAAATTAAAGTTGCTAATTAAAAGATGTTTGCTATCCCACAGCTCATAGAAAGAAAATAATGACATAGCTAAAGATTAGTAGAGAACCTTACATCTTTGTCATTTTCAACATCAAGATATGATGGGGTATTTTGCGGGACTGCTCTTCCATAAATCCCTGAGGGCGGTTCAATGCTTGGTTTCACTGAGAATGAATCCTCATGTTCCAAAGAGGATATCACTGGTTGGTTGCAAGTTGCTGGTGCTGAATTTGGATTTCCAAATACACCTGCAATCAATCAAGCATCAAGTAATTATAGTTTCAATAATGGCATTCCAGGTAACAAATTTGAAGGTTTTTCATTTAATACATGATAAAACATGTTAAATAATCATGAAGTATACAAATATCCCACCCATGTAAAAAGACAGCTGTTCATGAAGATATAGGTCAAAATTGGACTTTTAAGTGAGGTTCAAGGGAAGGCTCATAGACTGCTGTGAACTAGGTGTTTAAGAAGATATCTAAGAGCACAACTTTAAACTGGGATTTGTTTACACAAGGAAGAAAGGGAAGCATAAATCCTGAGGTAGGGACATTTATATGGAAATCTAGACAAGTAAAAATATGTCCATGTTTGAATGAGAATGGCCCCCATTGGCTAATAAATTTTAATGTGTGGTCACAAGGGAGTGTTGCTATTTGAAAGGATTAGGATGTGTGGCCTTGTGGGAGGAAGTGTGTCTATGGTTGAGGAATGTGAAGCTTTAAAAGCTTATGCTAAGCCTAGAGTCTCTCTTTTCTTCCTGCCTATAGATCAGGTTGGAGAACTCTCAGCTCTTTCTCCAGCACCATGCCTGCCTTCATGTTGCCATGCTTCTCACCATGATGATAATAGACTAAATCTCTGAAACTGTAAGCCAGTTCCAATGAAATGTTTTCCTTTATAAGGAAACATTTATAAAGGAAATGTTTATGATGTCTCTTGGTCATGATGTCTCTTCACAGAAATGGAACATTGACGGAGACACAAGAGAAATTGAAATTACAGACTAAATCTTCAAAATAGTCTAGAGGTAATTTGAAGAGAGTATTCAATGAGATTATCAAGCAAATTATTGCAAGATAAAGGGCCATGGAAACTTGTGTCAAGATTTCAGAAAATTTGGTATCCAAGTAGTATGTGACAGGAATAAGTTCCATGCAAGGGGCTCCTTGGCAGGCTGCTGAATGAAACTGGGCTCCCCACAGTCTCAGGCATTTGAACACTCGGTCCCCACTTAACTGATACTACTTGGGGAGGTCTTGGAGGTAAGGCCTTGCTGGAGAAGTATGCCACTAGGAGGGCCAGCTTAGAGGGTTCATAGCCTTTGTCTCTGCTTCCTGTTTCTACCACCATGCCTGCCACTTGCTTCATGTCTTCCTACCATGGTGGGATGCTATTTTCCACAGTCTCTGCTTCCGTTTCTGCCTCTAGGTTCCTCTTTGAGTTCCTGCCTTGACTTCTCTTCATGATGGACCTGTAACCTGTAACCCTTTCTTCTCCCAAGTCAGTTTTATCACGGTAATAGATACCATGGGACAAGCTATGAATGCAAAGGCTAATTTGTAATGAAGACTGTAGAACGTTAGGGATCCCAGGACCACAGGATTATTTTTTTGAGGAAAGCTGTATGCATAGAGTGGAGTTGGCCTAAGAAGAAGGCAATGTGTTGCAAGTGGCAGAGTTGGAAAGATAGGGCTACTCAAAGCCAGTGGCCTAGATATTGTGATCACAAGCCACAGATGTCAGACATATAGCTGCATGATCTGGTGACAGTTCTGTTGTGTTTCTGTCTTGCTTTGGTCCCATCTTTCCTTGGTTTCATTACTCCCTGTTGAAATGGGAATGTTTACTTTGTGTCATTGTATATTAAAGTGTGCAACATGGTTTTTATCTTATTTTTAAATGTATTTTATTTTACTGGGGTTCATGCTAACAGACTGCCTTCAATCTCAGAAGAGTTTCTGAACTTTTTAAGGGTAGGACTACTGGAATTTTGTTAGTTGGAATAAATATATTTTATATTATGAAATGATCATGAACCTATCAGGCCAAAGGTGGAATGTTATGATTTAAAGTGATGTGTTTGAGCTGGGCAGTGGTAGCACACGCCTTTTATCCCAGCACTCAGGAAGCAGAAGCAGGCAGATCTCTGTGAGTTTGATGCCAGCCTGGCCTACAAGAGCTAGTTCCAGGACAGGTTCTAAAGCTAGAGAAACCCTGTCTTGAAAAACCAAAAATAAATAAATAAAAAAGAAAGAAAGAAAGAAAATAAACAAAAGCCCATAAAGTGATGTGTTTGAATGTCAAACTGACAAGGGGTGAACTTGTGATAGTAAATCTACTCCACTGAAATTGTGATCATCTTAGAAATAATACCTCTGGGTTTGTCAATAAGGACATTTCCAGAGAAGTCTAACCGAGGGATGATGCACCCTGAAGGTGAGTGGGCTGACTAGAAAGCAGACAGTGAGTCGGCACGAGATTCGTCTTTCTGCTCTCCATACTGCAGATGCACTGGGAGCAGCCAGCTTACACAGACGTCATCACGACTCCCTACCACAATGCACTGTATAATCTCAACTCAGGGGCCAAATTCAACTCTTCATCCCTTACGTAGATTTTTGTGAGATATAAAAAAGTAACTAAGACGGCATTTAAGAAAAAGAAAATAATATTTAAAGACAATTTTGTTTCTTCAAGGTCACCTTGCATCTCTGAAATATATAACAAGGGCTCACTTTGAATTTTTGTTAGAAATAAGAAATTTCACATTAAGTTACATTAATTGCTACACTGATAAAACCTATTTGACATTAAACTATAATATAGTTATTATAGATATCCCTAAACTGCCTTACAAGTATCTAACTTCTAAAAGTTACTAACATAAATGCTCCATGGTTTCATTAATGGGCAAAAATATAAAATTAAGTATTCATTTTTAATTATTTCAATTTAATATTGACCAATATTGCTTATGCGTAGTAAATGCTTAAATTTAAAAGCTAGACAACTTAGAAATACCTTTTCCAACAATTACTACTGAGTCTTCTGATAAGGTATTTGTAGATGTGAAGTCAAAATTGGAAATCTGCTGTAAATTTGATGATCTTTTAAATTCTAAAAGAAAAAGAAAAAGGAATAAAAAAAGAAACAAAGACAAGGAAGGCAAAACGGCACATTAAAAAGTACTCACTGTGGTATATTTTAGGATATTAATACAGCCTTTAAAAATTTATTTCATAATAAATCCAAATCAATTAATTTGATGAATATTTAAAATTAGAATACCTCGTATATATTAGCTACCACAGAGATCAACAACAAAACAGAAACCTTCCTTTCTTTGAGGAGCTTACACAGGCCGGGTTGAAGAAGAGAGAAACATAATCATAGAATCATCACGCGATCATCATCAGAAGCAAGCAGTGAAAGTGGAGAACAAAATTCAAGCCCCAGAACACAAGAGATCAATCTCAAGCCAAAGCATAATTTTCTAGGCTAAACTGGGTTACTTCCACACACAAATAAGTAGACATCCTAACACGCGGCTGCCTCCCCATCCGTGATTTAAGATGATCAGAAGTAATGAAGCCCAGAGGTTCCCCCCTCCTTTTCCTTTCGGTCATTCTTTTTGAGGCAGGGTCTTACTATGTAGCCCAGGGTAGCCTCAAATGTCTGACATCCTGTCTCTGCCTCCTGAGTGCTGAGACTGCAGTGTGCACCACCATGCTCAGCTTAAATGTTGGTCTTAGCAGGTTCACAGCTGTCACATGTAAAAGGAAAAAAAAAAGGCAGCTCTTTATTTATTGGACTCACAATGTACCCCAGGCTGGCCTTAGATTCAGGGTAATTCTCCAGTCACAAGCTCCCAAATGCTGAGACTACAAGTAGGAACTACTGTGCTGGCTAAGAAATTATTTTAAATGCAACTACCATAGAGTAACTTGGGAAATGAACAAAGCACTCGCCTGATGTCCTGTTCACTACTGCAGTTTTAAAATACAACAGTTAAGGAGCTAGCGATAACAAGAAATTCTAGTAAGGGAAGGACTTTCCTTCTGCCGTGTCTGGACTCCATGGCTAACACTCACACAGACATTCACATGACTGTTCTCACTCTGAGTGAAGAAATGTCTTATAGAAAATCTGTTTGCATGTATGTACCTGCAAGCTCTTGGGGTAAAGCCCAGGGATTCCCAATTTTAACTAATGTTTTGTCCTTTGCATGGGCTCCTTTAGACAACAGCAGAGACCATAAATCCTAAAAAGTTATTTCAGAGAAAACCTATCAATAGAATGAATGATAAGTTGAAAACCTTAAAGTTAAGAATTCTTAGTTATTTTTTTTGCTAATGTTTAGAGAAGATTCTGACTTAGATATATTGAATATTAAAAATTAATTTGTCATGAAATTTACAAACCTTTTGTATGCTTATGTCTTGGGGGTTCCTTATTTTGTATTTTTAAAGCACTAGGTGAAATGTCATGTGACCTATCATCTTCAAAATCACCACATCCAAACCCATAGTTCATACGTTGACCAATTATGCTTACACTGGATGTTGTAATCCCTATAAAATAAAATACATATTTATTTAAATGATTTAGGTAATATTTACAATAGGTGTATATCTCTCTTCTAAGTCTATTTTGCTGACTACACTTTTGAAAAGATCAGCAACATCATTGAAAATTATGTTAGTAGTTTTTAAAGTTTTACCATATTTTAAACTATGTAGCTTTCAATGAAATAAAAAATGTAATGTTTGAAAGAGTTAACCAAATAATTGAGTGTTATAGTTGATGTGGGGGTGGACACTTGCGATTCTAGCATCAAGAATTAGACATGGGAGGATCAGAAGTCTGAAGTAAGCCTAGACTACATAAAAAGTTCAAGGACAACCAGGGCTACAAAAAACAAAACAAAACAACAACAACAAAAAAACCCAAGAACTTAACTGATTAAATTAATAAGTAACATCCTTAACTTGTCAAAATTCCCAGTGTTAAAACAGTGGATTAAGGGGGCCTATATTCTTCACACCTTTCTCTTCTGCACACGTGATGGGTGTCCCCTGGTTTGGCTAACGAGACAGTTAACTCCTTTAAGAACTCTGTATCATACTCAGCAGACTGTAGGCTTTGCCCTGCCACTTAACTGCAGAGAGACTCTGGGAAGATATTTAATGTATGTAAAATGGGAAGAGTAGAAACTTAACCAGAACTGTCACATGAATTAAATGTAGGAAATAGAGAGCTAGACATAGTGGTGTGTGCTTTAAAAGTCTTCGTGCCTGGGAGGCTGAGGCAGGAGGAGCTCCATGAGTTTGAGATCAGCACAAGCTATATGGTAAGCTCAAGGTCAGCCTGGTCTACCCAGTGAGGCCTTGTTTATATCCCCATCCCTGCAAGAAGAGGAAGAAGAAGAAAGAAGAAGGAAGGAAGAAAGAAAAAAAGAAAAAGCAAACATATATAAAGAACTTAGTACACTGCCAAGCATATTGCAAATACTCAAATAGTATTATATCTCTAATAAAAAATAAAATATAACACTATTATGTCCTTTTAATAAGTAACATAGAATTTAGTCAACATTTGAATGTCTAAACTGTATATACTATACTAATATTTTACCACTACTGGAGTTACATAATGTTGATTAAATAAAAATTCCTATTCAATATATTTGCATCACTGCCCATTTTCATACGTAGCTACATTATAAACCAGAAAGCAGTAGGGATATACTTCATTTTTAAATAATGCAACACTTGGGGCTGGAGAGATGGCTCAAAGGTTCAGAGTACTGAGTGCTCTTCCAAAGGGCTCGGGTTCAATTCCCAGCACTCACATGGCAGCTCACAATTGTTTTTAACTCCAGTTCCAGGGGATCCAACACTCTCACACAGACATATATGCAGGCAAAACACCAATGCACATAAAATAAAAATATATAAATCATTAATAGTACAATACTTTAATGAAAACAAAATAGTTGGAAAAGTGCTAGCTACTGGAAGCTGGGCTAGGAAAACAGCAGACAAAGGTTTTAGCTAAGTTCACCAAGTTTAAAGAAGTATCCCTTCTAAGTGCTACACATACACAGCCCTAACTTAGATCCTCAGTATCAGCTAGACTAGCATGGGGGTCTTATACCACACAAGACAGGAACTCTTGTGAGATAAGAGCAGGAGAAACAGTTGTTCAAGGCCAACCTTACTTACACAGCAAGTGAAGACCACCTGGCTACATGAGACTTTCTCTCAAAAAAATAAAATTAAAACCTCATTTTAAATTATAATAGCCTTACAGAAGAAACTGATACTCTTAAAAATTCTTAGTCTTAACAGTTAATCTAGATATTGGTGGAAGATACTGGCTTTAAGTGGTATTGTTTGTACTAACATTTGACACTAATGGTATAAGAAAATCAGTTAGGAAATTCAGTGCTATTTACGGTAACAGTTGTAAAACTCTACGAAGAAACATTCTCTGGAAACAGCTCTGGGAAAGGTGTGCTGTCTTTAGTATTTTTATACCATAACTTTGTTCTTGTCCATGTAAACAAATAACAGCTAACTAGTCTTAGCTAATCGTACCTAGATAACATACATACTTCCTTACTTGTCTTCTGTGATACCCAATGTTCTCAAACTATGTTGTATATCAGAGTCACTAAGTGAGCTCTCAAAATGGTGACAGTCAGATTTAAATGCACTGCAATTAAATAAAAATATATTTTTTTTCTTCTGGTTTTCCGAGATAGGGTTTTTCTGTGTAACTCTGGCTGTCCTGGAACTCACTTTGCAGACTAGGCTGGCCTCGAACTCACAGAGATCCACCTGCCTCTGCCTCCTGAGTACTGGGATTAAAGGCGTATGACACCGCCACCCAGCTAAATAAAAATATTTTCTGGAGGAGCCTGGGAAATCAATGACTGAGTCAAGTAAATATATTTCTTTCAAAACTAGAGTCATACTCACTCTCATTAGAATGGCTTTTTAATAAGTTATGGTTAATGGCAAATTGGTAAGTATAAAACCTAAATCTAAAATGCATTTTCTATCACTTTCTATATTACAAATCAACCATATTCTTAAGAAAGTATATTTATAAAAACAAGATACCTGCACTAGGAGTCTGTTCAGCAGCATGGGAGATTTTCTTTGCAGAACAAAGTCTTGTTGAGCAAGGTTTTGATCCAAATGTTGGAAATATGTCTGACCTAATGAAACAAAGTAAATTGAATAAACATTTACAGTTCAGAGCTGTGCAACACTTATATCACTCATTGTACATTCTTTTCACTAACATATTAGGATACTAGATAAGTCAGAAAACAATAATGAAAAATTATGGCTAAAAATCTTTTGTGTTGCTTGTGGGGTTGTTTTGCTTTGACTTTGAGACTAGTCTCATTATGTAGTCTTGGCTGTAGTAGAACCCATTATACAGACTCACAGAGATCCATTTGTCTCTGCCTCCCAAGTGAGGAAATCAAATTTGTATACCACCAAGCCTAGGAAGCAGACCTAAGTCATCTCCTAAAACACTACACACATGTAATCTACTGTTACACAGACAGAAACAGACAAGACTGTATTATCAACAGGAGCAACGGTTGAGTTTGTAAATGCCACTTTCTTAAAACTATTTTTTGCTCTACCATTTAGATATTATGAAGGCCCACGGGCCTTGCTTAACAAAGAAAGCAAGCTTTCACCATTAAAGAATATTAAATCCTAAAGCAAAGAAACCCAGTAAATATTATAATATAATGAGTGACAGACATTTTACAAAGCAACACAATTTACCAGCTAGCTATCATGTATATTTTCCAATGTCCTTAGTAAAAAATGAGCTTTAACTAATTTTTTAATATTTACTTTGTATATGCAAAAGTGTATGTGTATATGTGTGTGTGTAAGTAATATGTGTGCAAGTGAAGTCCAGGAATCATTTCCTTCCACCATGAGGGTCCTGGAGCTCAAACACGGGTCATCAGGCTTGGTGGTAAAGCACCTTTGCCCAGAGAATCATCTTGATGGCTCATTTTGAAGATTTGGAAAGAGCCATTTCTCTAGACTACTAGAAATGTACAATCATACTGAGCAGATTTTAGTTGGATGAAAGAAAACTTTTCATTCGAGAAGGATGGTTTCCAATAGTTTCACTTTCATCACTGAGAGATGACTTGTCTCAGGAGGTAGTAATGTTCTTTATCCATGACTCTTGAGGCAAGAAACAAACTGGTTAAGAATAACTATTATAGACTTGGGAAGCAGAGGCAGGAGAATTCCAAGGGTAAGGCCATCCTAAACTATATAGCAGACTAGAAAATGTGGCTAAATCATTAAACGGAAAAAAACACAAAAAGGCTGCAGAAGTAGTCAGTGATGCCGTGCTTGTCTGCATCTGCAAGGCTCTGTTCAATCCTCAGATCACTGACATCCCCCAGGAGAATGTATTTCAAAGCAGTGAAACTCAGGGTAGAAATCTTAAATTCATTAAAGGCAATGAGTGGATTCCCATCTTAAAGACTTCAATACTTAGGGGCAAGAGAGATGACTCAGCAGTAAAGAGCACTGGCTGCTCTTCCGGAGGAACCAGTTCAATTCCCAGTACCCACATGGCAGCTCACAACTGTTTATAACTCAAGTTCCAGGAGATCTGACATCACCATTTGTACACCAATTTGCATAAAATAAATTTAAATAAATTATTAAAAGGTATTCAATACTTAAAGAAAATAACTGTGAGACAAAAGGAGAAATACATAATTCTAAATGTTACAAATACAAAATGAACTTCTCTTCCCAACTGGCTTCAAATTTTTAACATTAGGGAATATATATATTCCATGTGTAATGCTCATTGTAAGCTGTTTCTTTGTTAAAGTCATTCTAGATCAATTATGTAAATATATTCCAATATTCTATCGAGGCAGGAACAATTAAGGCATTTCCAGGGATGAAATGTTTCCAAGTATAAGTCATGATTTAAGTTAAAAATGTGAAGGATAAAACCATATAAGACAAACTCCTAAAATGGAACATAAAAATTCAGTTACATTTTATAATTGCTGAAATAAAACATCACCTCTCCTTTAATTAGGCAGTCTTTACCTCCATTTGTGAGAGGTTTATTAAATTCATTAAATTGAAAATAATTTTAAAAATGTACTTCTGATATCTCTATATTAACAAGGATCCAAATAAAGTCAAAAGGAAACAAAACAAAAAAGGTTTCACATCAAATTTTAGCAAGAATAAGCAACAGTCATAACTTTCACATCACCAATGGGAATATAAAATTACACTACTATTTAGAGAAGCTATTTAGCAATTATTTAACTATATACTTATATATCTAACTACCCATACCATGGCAACTCTACGGTATGTGGACTTTCAGTCTCAAATAAAGGGAAAATTACTTCAAATTCTACAAGGTCACAGAAATGTCCAGCGTCCAGGAGGAGGTGTCTTTTTCAGAGCAGAGGCTTTCTGGGAAGTTGGTGTGAGAAAGACAGGACTTGAACTCCAGCAGAACTATGTAGGCAGGCCCTGTCCTCAGTAGGATACCTGAGCTACCAGTATCTTGGAGTGCCAAGATTTATGAAGTTATAGCAATAAGATATTAGAAATAATGCAGCAATAGCTGGGAAGAACTTACTCATGAACTAGAGTGAATTCGTGATGTGTTAAAATTAAAAAAAAATAAATAAATAATGGGCCAAAAAGCAAATGATCTAGAAAAGTTAAGGGACAAAGAGTATTAGGGTAGATGTTAGGAAAACAACTGGCATTTGGTACAAGGCCCATGATAATTAGGAGCTAAGTTACTGGGACAGTCACACCCCCTTTCTATCCCTATTCCACTAAAGGCAAACAAGGCAGGTCTATGTGTAAACTGCCACACCATATCTTAAAGCTATTTAGACTCTGTTTCATTTTTAACAGGGTCTTAATATATAGGTCTACCCAGCCGCACCTCGCTAAATAGGCCATGCTATACTCAAACACACAGAAATCTGCCTGCCTCTGCCTTCCCAGTGCTAGGATTAAAGGTGTGCACCACCACACCTGCTGTATTTACACACTTTAAGAACTGAGCATTAAATGGCTTTAAGTCTTTTCCAGATACAGTGCTTAAGGTCTAGATCACAATTATAGGTGACTATTAACATGTCAGAAAATAAAGTACATTATTCTCTTCCCCTGGGGAGTTGTAGAAAGAGAAGAGGTCAACGATTCTTGGCTATAAACTCCACTTTCACTGTAAGAGCTGACGTTTGGAGAGGAAGATCGGGATGGGGAGTCCATGGTCAGCTCGAGCTTCATTGCAGAGTCGGGACTGTCGATATCAGAAGTGCTGCTGCTGCCACTCAGCTTCGCTCTTTTCTTAGCTGCGCTGTTACGAAGGGACCTAAGAGAGCTCTGCATCTAAGGAAAGGAAAGAAAACAACTCATAAGGTTAAATTCATATACGTAAAAAGAAAGAGGTATCCTTAGATTTTTTTGAACTCCATTAACTTTGCCAAGTTAGCCAATCCTCAGTTAGTACAAACAAAATGGATGCTAATATGTGCACAGAATAAACTAGATTCATTGCTTGGGCTAATAAACAACTATTAGGCAGTAAGTTGTTATGAAGACAACTCCCCCTATTACTTACTAACCATGACATTTTTGATAAACAACAATGACGGGATATTGTATGAATTCAGTTAATATTGAATCAGTGACTCTCAAAGTAGAAAGCACAGATTACAAGTGAGAGAAACTAATCGGCTCTATAGCTCCTTATATTCTGGAGATGTATTATGAGTAAGCCATTTTGTAGACTATGAAATTCACCTAAAACCTGCAAGGGCTATACCTCAACGTAACGGATCTCTAAAAAGTCATGGAATTTCTAAACTGAGCTACAAGTGAGTTATATTACCAGACCTCAAACTAAATTATTTTTATACATAAGAAAACTTTATGTATAAAAAGTACCATTTTCCCTCATGCAGCAAGTATATATGTGTGTGTATAAAGATACAGATATATATCAGAATATTAAAGGGGCTTTTAATGATTAAAAATGATATGGATTCTCACCTCTTCTTGATCCAGATCTTTATCCCTGAAATTCAATTCTGAAAGATCAATTGTAAGACAATCTTTTTCACTTTTCCAAATATCATCAGGCTGTTTCTTTTTGTGTCCTACTGTCCCAAAGTCAGCTTTATCAGGCAAAAGACTTATTCCTCTTGGTATGGGCGGGACAGGCTTAGTCCCATTTAGGCCTCTTCGGGAAGAAGGTGATCTCACCAAGGCAGGTGTGAGTTGAACTGGAGTATTTTTTTCTTGGAAATTTTCTCCTATATGAAAAATATGTATTTTATTTTCTCTTATTTTCAGAGGAAGTAAGTTTGAGTCATAAGTATTTAGAATATAGTATTTTTTAATTAAAAAGTACATTATCTGTTGTGAACTATTTGTACACTGTGTGAAAATGTATTGCTGTGATTGGTATAACAAAAAGCCGAACAGCCAATAGCTAGGAAGGAGGTATAGGCAGGACTTCTGGGCAGAGCAAGCTCTGGGAAGAAGAAAGGTGGACTCTCCAGCCAGAGTGGAGAGGAAACAGTAGGTGCAAGATAGAAGAGGGGTAATGCCACTTGGCAGACGGTATATTAATATAAATGGGTTAATGTAAGTTGTAAGAGCTAGTTGAGACAGCCTAAACTACAGGCTGGCAGTTCCAACAAGAAAGTTCTACTATGATTATCTTATATTAGAAACAGACTATTATGTAAAATAAGATGAAATAAAAGCACCAACGTTCCTCAATAAATACAACAAAAACAAGCATATGAAATCCCTGCCTATTACATAAAAATACCATGAACTAAGCTACATTTTCAGTCATCATGACTAATATTTGCTAATGATAAAAATCTAAAATAAGCCAGAAAGCCTCTATTTTTGGCTTGATGTAACTCTAAAAGCAGTACTTCAGGGGCGGGGAGGTGTGAAGCAGCACTGGGGACTGGGAGAACAAGCTGCACACACACAGAGATTCGGGGAACAAAATCAGCACTTCACATAGAGCAAGGGCAATAGCTCTACTACTGTGTTATACCCACAGATCCAAGTCTTGGTTTTCAATAGGATATTTGATCTTATAGAGAAAACAAAGAAATTAGTAACCAGATGTGAAGGATCAGTGTGAGGAGAATATTGCGATGAAATAGGCTGAGTATGGAAGCATGGAGTTTGTGGTTATAAACTGAACTCTAGTTGTGTGGGTATCTCAAGAGGAGAATATCTTATATTACAGGTTGAGGATAGGAAAGCATGTAGGATATATAAGGAACACTTTTAATAGTCTCATTTGGAAACTGGATTTGTCCGATTGCTAATATCATGATTTTATGATGCTAATATCATGATTTTATATAAATAGCATATTATTAAGAGGTAATATTTCAGCAAATAACAGATTTTTACAATAATTTTAGCAAATAATAAACATTTAATGAATATAAAACACATGAATATATATTACAGTAAAATGTGAATGATACTTTTATTGTAATGATAAAAATTTGTCAGTAGGCCCTTAAGCAATATGTTCTTAAAGCATTATTACTTTCTGAGTTCTGAAAAAGCATCTTAAAGTGGCAGTGTAAGTAAAGAAATGGTCATTTCAAATAAATTGTAATTATTTACTGTCTATTAAATTTATTGTATTTACTTTCCCAAATATTTGTAGGTCAAAAGAAAATATAGTTAGCCAGGTTTTAAAATCTAACATTATATATTAACTTCAAAGCATAAATTCAAACATAAATAAACTTAAATAAAACACCAATCTTTACCATCATTCCTACCTGTAGGGTCAGATGATTTCTGATTGACAAGTTTTTTCTGTGGACTTGGCTTTGATAGTCCTTCAAAGCTTTTAAGAGGCCAAGAATTTGAGAAACTAATGGAATTATCTTGAGATTTCTTTGGAGACACAGAAAGAGGAGATGTGTGCTTTGGACTAGCTCGAGGAGATGAGAGGGGATAGGATGGAAGGATAAAGGGTCCTGGGCTTGCACTTGAACCAGAGTATGAAGAAGTTCGTTCTGTTTGACTACCAAACGTTTGCTGAGTCTTATTGCCAAAATTTAGGCTAGCATATACTGTAACAAAACAAACAGAATAAGTTATTTGCAGCTACACACAGGCTCAGAGTTCAAAAGCTTCTCCGTTTTTACATTCAGATTCCCTCACATAGCATTTATGAGTTTATGTGGTGTCAGGCATGCAAATAATTTTGAGCACTAACATTTCATACCTTTGAATCCAAAGTTTTCTTATCCTACTGAAAAGTCTACCATATTTATAAAGTTATTTTCTTCTTGTAATTTTATAAAATTGTATCCATGTAAGCATATTTATTTCAAGTACATGCATTAAGAGAATTTTTAGCGAATCATTCTTTTCATTATAATTTTGATGGAGATATTTCTGTATCAACACATTACTTGAGCATTTGTCTAGCTTTACCTTTCCCACACTTTATCTTCTCCCAACTTACTTTTGATACTTTCTAAACAATAACTTTTAAAAAGTGTGTGACGTTTAGTATTTACCTTAGGGTCTTTCGTGGGTTAAGTAAATTCTCTACAGTGGAGCTGTATTCTTACCCTGTAATCTTCCAACACTCTGTCTCTGTCTCTGTCTCTGTCTCTGTCTCTGTCTCTCTCTCTCTCTCTAAACGGCACTTCAGAGGAAGAGCCCTCGACTGCAATGATTTATTTCCTTAGTGCAGGCACATGTGTGTGGAGACCAGTTCTGGTCATCAGCTGCTCTCCACCTTATTTCTGAACTAGGCTGAAGAGGTTCAAGAGCAACAGTAGCAGTCAAACAGAGGAATCGCCCTCTCTCTGCTTTGTCAACACTTGCATCACGGGTACACTGTCCTGGGTTTGGCATTTACGTGGGTGCTAGAGATTGCAAGCAAAGGTCCTTATGCTGGCAAGGCAAGTACTTCCACAACTGGGCCATTTTCCCAGTCCCATCACTATAATTTACATGGTAAGTTTTACTTATTTATGTTGGTAGCAACTATTGATGAGTCTGATTTAATTCTATCATCTTGTCTTTCTGCACTATTTTTGTCCTATCTTTTGTTTGTTGTGAAGTTGCCTTCAAACTCACTACATAGTCTATGCTGACACTGAATTTCCTAATCCTCCTAACTCCACCTTCCTAGTGCTGGAATTAAAGGCACATGAAAAACAGGCACAGCTTTTTGTTTGTTTGTTTTTTTAAATAATTGTTCTTGGGATGGAACCCAGAGTCTGTCTTAGGCAAGCAGTGTTCTAATAAGGTACCATAAGATCAATTTTCACAACTACTTGTTAGCGTACAAGCCGTGATTACACACACACACACACACACACACACACACACACACACACACACATATCCTCTTATATCTCTACATTTATTCTCATTTTTTTGAAACAGGTTTCCACCCTGAAGCCCAGGCTGGCCCAGACTTTATGTCATGGCAATTCTCCTGCCTCATTCTAATTGCTCGGAACACAGGCATAAGCCACCATGTCCATTCTATATCCTGTCTTATCTGAAACAACCTGTCAGGAAGTTATTGTTCCTAAAAAGACACAATAAAGTCTACTTAGCTTTAAATTTAAATAACTGCATGCACATAGTACTAATTTAATGTTATTTTCAATTTATGTTAGCTTTCATCAGTTTATAAACTTTAATTAGTCATATTTAAATCAAAATTAAAGTCTAATAATTTAGAATAACAATTATAAAAAACATTGGTATCATTAAATTGTAACAAGTTTTCATAAAGATCATACAAAGTAGTACGTGAGCCAGTGTCAGAACCGTATATATTTATAAATACCTTTATCTTGATTGGCTGTTCCCAGGAACTGTAAGTCAGAACCCACACTGCCAGTTTTACTACCTATCTGTGACAGTCCAAGCTGCCCACATTTCCCAGGAAGACTTGTCTGCTGAGTTGCAGTATTACCTTTGAAGGGAGGTAACAGCAAAAACAAAGTGAAAGTAAGTGTTATTTTATGAATATATATTTCATAAACATTGTTATAACTATATTCTGAACTTTAACTCTTATGAATAATCAGATTTCCCAGTAACAATGTTATTTTGTCTTGCTTGCCCCCCCCCCCCCCCCACACACAGAAATAAGAGGAATTTGTCTTCACAGATCAAAGAGTATTCTGGGGACAGAGGTAGAGGCAGGAAGATCTCTGTGAGCTCAAGGCCAGCCCGGTCTACATAGTAAGCTCTTCTGTCTCCTCAGTTCTGGAACTGTTGGCATACGTCACCATGCCTAGATAAACACCTACTTTCTATGACAATTACACAATTAAACATCTTTTCAATTTTTCTGGCAGACGTTCTTAGATTATATTTTTATTTCCCTTTTCTCACTCTCTGTAAGAAATGTACCAGTAAATCATGTCAATTTTACCTATGACATGTAATCAGAATCAAATCACTTCTCACTACATTCACTGCCATGCTGGTTAAATCGTCTATAAACCTTAGCCGGGGTTATGACAAGCAACTCAATCGCTTCTCCCTTTCTCCCTTGTCTTCCTTCCACCTGTTTTAAATGTAATATCCAGAACAAGCCTGGAGGACAGAAGACACGTGACAGCACTTCTTTAAGATTCCCTCAGAATGCAGTCATCTAAGAGTTCTGGCAGCTGAGACCTCCAGGGTCGTACATTTTCAGCCATGTACTCCTTCCTTTCACCTCTATCATACTAGTCTGCTCTTTGTGAAGAGTGCTCCGTTTACCTTTCTCAGTTACTCTGCCCTGCAATCACGTGTTCTTCTCTCCTCATATCTGCTGCTTTGCCTCAAATATCCCCCTCCTGAATATGGCTGCCTTTAATGATATAGCTTGAAATATTCCTATTCCTCTTCCATATCACCATCTAATCTACCAAATCTTACATTCATTTAATATTTGCTCTCCTGCTCAACTAGAATTGAAGTTTTTCTGTTTCCTTTGTTTTTGAGGCAGGGTCTCACATGTAGTCCTGGTTGGCCTGAAACTCTGTAGACAAGGTCTGGCACCCACAGAGATCTGCTGGTCTCTCCTTCCCTAGTACCAGCATTAAAGGTGTGCATCACCACATCCTGCATAGAATACAATCTTTTTTGGCTTTGGTATGCCTTTCTTGAAAGCTATATCCCCAGCACTAAGAAAAGTACCTGATATGTAAAGATGCTCAAGAAATATTAGAGGCTTATTAAATGACCAGGGCCCTACACTATGAACAGCCTGCAAGGAGAAGGTCTATGATCTCATGAAGACATTGGGTCAAAGTGCCCGCGTTTTAGCCAATTTTCAATGAGCATTTATTAATTTTCAATGAGCATGAATTGCATGTTGGATTATACATAGTTTTTACAGGCCCTCAAATGAATAATGAAATTTAGGGAATCTTTAACAGTTCAACATACTTATTATCCAAAACATTTACTTACCAGCACCACACATAGGAATTGAATCTGAGTTAAAATCCCGACTACTCTGAAATAAGTTTCTTGATGACCTTTTTTTGCTAAAACACAAATCATCATTGACTGGCATTCCTTGAGATGGCTTTAATTTTGGAGATGGGATGAGGTCATGAGCTGAAAACTGAGAAGAGAGTAAGTTAGTAAATTTTTGCTAAGCCTCCTTGGTAATAAATATGACAACATAACTTAGATCCAATTACAAAACTCAGATAAAAGAAAAATATTTTTGAGTATGCAATACACTCATTCAGTATGACACATAGTATTTTTCCTTCCAAGATAAAAACGCTACTTTCCTTTTACTATATCTCAATTCTTTCTTTAATCGTCTATAATATGTATCTGACAATTAGAGAAGAGACAAAATAATGATTAAAGGATGAAAGAAAAACACGAAGGAAAAAAAGTCTGCTTAGCAGCATAAGCTCTACTCTATGCTACCTTTCAGTGCCAGTCAATAAGCAACTGAAGATCACAGAACAAATAAGCATCCTACTCTTCTCAGCACGGTAAAGTCAGTACTAATATTCTTTAGCACAAATATAACTACTACAAACCAATAGGTAAAGTGTTACCACCAGGTTCCAGTTCCAACCACTCCAGAAGCTAGAAATGTACTCAGCAATAAAGCATGTGCTTACAAACATGTGGGAGGCCTGACTAGCAACAAACAAAATACCCAAGTATATCACACACACACACACACACACACACACACAGAGGAGGGGGGAGGAAGGAGGTAGGGTGGGAGAGAGAGAGAGTACTTGATGGTTTCCAGGTACTTTCTTATAAACATCACATGATCTATAAGTGATAAAAAGTTGTTCAAAATTCAGTATTACAATTTCTACAATTGATCATGTGTAGTAATAAAAGGATCAAATGGAATTAAACGAAGCCAATTACAATGAACTTCTAATTGAATATTTCAAAAAAGATACATTAATAGATAAAATAGTAGGTAACTTAGTAAAGATTCTTTTTTAAAAAGAGATATATATTAACAGATAAAATAGTAGGTAATCCAGTAAAGATTCTCTTTATTGTTTTTCTTGTTGCTTTTGTTTTTTAAGACAGGGTTTCTCTGTAGCTTTGGAGCCTGTCCTGGAACCAGCTCTTGTAGATCAGGCTGGCCTCGAACTCACAGAAATCTATCTGCCTCTGCCTCACAATGCTGGGATTAAAGGCATGTGCCACTACCGCCCAGCTCCAGTAAAGATTATTTACAATAATTTTTACATTAGTTTCAACTTCTTTTACTCATGCTCCATCCCCCCCCCCCATTACCTTTCCAAACTCTAATACTCTTCTACATTCAGGCTGACTCTTTTTTCTTTTAAAAGCTTCCCCATCAGAAAAAACAAGCAGTTCTCAATTCCATTAATATAATTATAATTTTCATGGTTTTTTAACAGCATTAAAAATAAAAATTTCATATAAAGAGAATTCTAGAATTTTAAAAAGAAACTACTTATTGGCGATACTCTAATATTTACACCAATAACTTTCAGGCTGTTCATGATTTTGACAAACTCTTATACCAAAGTGGCTTGTTTTAGAAGATTTGAGATCAGGTCTCATAGCCCAAGATGGGCTCAAATTCCTACACAGTCAAAGATGACCTAAATTGCTGATATTTCTGTCTCTAACTTCCAAATGTTGACATTACAGGTAGAAGTCACCAAACACAGTTTTTGAAGCACTGGAGATTAAACTCAGAATCTCATGCATTCTAGGAAGGCACTCTACTAACCTAGCTATAAATACATTACCAAGCCTGTTATTTGCTGATTGGTTTATAGAGGATGACCTCAAATTAGTCCATGCTGGCTTGTAATTCACAATCTTGTTTCAACATGTGAAATTCAAGAACTATAGGAATGTGCCACCACACGTAACAAGGAGAGTTTTTCCTATTCACACAAGAATACAGTCAGTGCTCCTCTTGCATCGAATAGGTAGTGGATACCCAACTCAGGCCATTAGGCTTGGTGGCAAGTGCCTCTACCCGCTGAGTCATTAGCTGGCTCCAGAATCTATGTTTTGAACAAGATCCTGAGGCAATTCATACACACATTAAAATTTGCTAACAGTAAACTAAAGCCCATCTTTTTCTTAACTTTAAAACACACACACACACACACACACACACACACACACACACCTTGCTATGGAGAAGCAAGGGAATGTAACAGATACAATCAATAAGACATAACAAACACATACATCACATATGAATGCAGGGACTAAATTTTCTGCACCTTTCATACTTAATATCTGCAGTGCTAACCACAGAGTCTATCTGCTGAATTTACAGCTGATTCTCCACTCTGTCTATTATATCAGGGCTTTCTTATTCAAAAGTAAGCAGCAATAAACCCATTCTCCTATGTCCTCATAGTACTATGTTGCTTGATGTTTTTCTTAGCTGCCACAAGAGGGAAAAGTACTGTGGTTAGTACTGTTATAAACCCAACACCATGGGCTGGAGAAATGGCTCAGCGGGCAGAGAATCATGCTGCCAAGTCTGATGACCTGAGTTTGACCCTCACATGGTGGAAGCAGAAAACCAACTCCTTCAAGTTGTCCTCTGACCACATGCTCACTGTGACATACTGTCACACATGCATAAACTAATAAATGTATTTTTAAAAAAAGAAACAAGATTAAAATGAAATAGTATTAAAAATGGAAACAAAAACAGTTCCTACCACCATCATATTGTCTGGCCAGTTCCAAGGAGAAAGGTATCACGACTCGTTCGTGTTAACTATCAGGAAGAACAGCAATGAGCGGAAGTGCTTTAAAGGGTCTATAAACTCCAGCTTGTCTTGGAACATGGTCAGAAAGACAGACGCCTACTCAAGGCTAACAGCCTGTTTCCTCAGTATTCATTCCATGCTTTTAACTTAATAGTCTACTTTCTATACTATATGAAAAGGTTCTTTTCCATGTCAAAATGACCTTTAAATATATAAATTTTTTATTTTGATAAAAAAAAACACCTGGTAACTACATAATTATGATGTTAAGTCAGAATATAACAAGAAAGTTATTATCAGTTTATATGTCAAGGAAAGATAATTCACTAAGAAACTAAAAGTGAAAAAGTAATTCTCTGAGTTCTAGAAATAAAACTAAAACTTTAAACTCTAAACTCTGAAAAAAGATGAGTTAAACAGACTATGACATTAGATATACTACTACCAATAGCCACTGGACCCCTACTACAGATTATTTGATGTTAAAGAAAAAAGTTTATAATAAAGTACATGAAAGGTGCACACTTGGAGGCTGGAAGTGTCTTGGTGGTTAAATGTTCTCACTGCTGTTCCAGGACCTGGATTTAGTTCCCAGCACACATATGGCAGCTCACAATTCTAAGTCCAGTTCCAGTACTCTCTGCTTACCTCTGCAGAGCAACCACACATGCACATACCTAGGCACAGGCAATACACTCACGACAAATACAACATTTTCTAAAGGGGTACACTTTCATTTATGGAAATAAGACCTGACCTTTATATATAAATTAAAACAATAACAAAATATTGAGGGGCGGTGATGGTGTACACCTTTAATCCCAGCACTTGGGAGGCAGAGGCAGTTGGATCTCTGGAAGTTGGAGGTTAGCCTGGTCTACAAAGTAAGTTTCAGGACAGCCAGAGTTGTTATACAGAGAAACCCTATCTCAAAAAACAAACAAACAACAACAAAACCCCCAAATATTGACTACATGAAAATCTCTTTCAGCAGTGAGATTGTGAAAAACTTTTATTTTTTCCTATTCTGCAAATTTTTTTATGTGAATATATACAATTTTTATAAAAAGAGTTGGGCAGTGGTTATGCACATCTTTAATCCCAGCACTTGGGAGGCAGACACAAGCAGTTCTCTTGAGTGCAGCCAGCTTGGTCTACAAAGTGAGTTCTAGGACAGTCAGAGCTGTTACTGAGAAGAACACTGGTTCAAAAAAACCAAAAAATAAAAAAATGAATAAGAGATATTAAAGAGCTGGGTTATATTGGTGCACACCTTTAATCCCAGCACTTGGGAGGCAGAGGCAGGCAAAGTTCTCCGAGTTCGAGGCCAGCCTGGTCTACAAGAGCTAGTTCCAGGACGTTAAGGACTGTTACACAGAGAAACCTTGTCTTGAAAAGAACTCCCTCCCAAAAAAAGATATTAAAGAAAGATAAAATTTAAAAATTTAAAGTACTTCTAGAATACAAGGAGTAGGGTGCAATATGTAAAAGAAACCCTACTCTTCAATTTCACCTGCTTCAGCTTGTAGTACATTCAACAGGATGGCTCATGCCTTATCTGTCTTGCACTTTGCTCTAGAACCTTGCTTTGCTTCTCTTTCACCTTTGAGGTGTAAGCATGCTTTGTCTTACTGGTTTCACCGATTACTATTCCTTAAATGAGCAAGAGCTGATCTTTGTAGTGTCCGAATGAGGCCCGGCTGGTGGAGGTGTTTGCAGAGGCTTAGGAGGTATGGCCTTGCTGGAAGAAGTATGTTTTAAGATTTCTTTATCTTTCTCTCTTTCTCTCTTTCTTTCTTCCTTCCTTCCTTCCTTCCTTCCTTCCTTCCTTCCTTCCTTCCTTCCTTCCTTTCTTTTTTTGGTTTTTCGAGACAGGGTTTCTCTGTAGTTTTGGAGCCTGTCCTGGAGCTAGCTCTTGTAGACCAGGCTCGCCACGAACTCACAGAGATCCGCCTGCCTCTGCCTCCCAAGTGCTGGCATTAAAGGCATGAGCCACCACTGCCCGGCTGTTTTAAGATTTCATAAATTTCATAAGATTTCATAAGCATAAAGTGTTCTCTGCTTTATGCTTTAGGGTTAAAGCTTTCTGCTCTGGCAACCTGTCTCCATGTCTCCCCCACCATCATGGATGCCCCTTCTGCAACTGTCAGCCTAAATAAGCTGCTGTCGTTGGTCCTGGTGTTTGTCGCTGCAACAGAAAAGTAACTAATACAGTTGTTAGCATTCTATTACTCTGTACGCCTCTCTTGATAAGGAACCCATCAGCTCTTCTTCAGAGACGGTCTCACCGCACGGCTTCCAGAGCTGCCGTTCTCCTTCTTTTCAGACTTCCTAGCAGTCTGGAACATAACTAGTACAG